GAAAGTGAAACTCAATAAAATAGATCGATTCCATAACTGTCCTAATTAAGCCTTGCAATTTATTATCCTAGATTCAAGATTTGTCATGTCGGGTGAGCTCATTCCCCCCCCCGCCTTCCCCTCCCCATTCCTGTGAAGAATAGGGATGAATGGAGACTTGGCACTATTGCTTCGAAATAGAGGTAGTCCTTGACTTATCCCTACAATTGGGAATAGAATCACAAAGTGTGGTCTTTAAGCGAGTCGCCATGTGACTGGAACCATTTTTACCATAGTTGCTAAGTGAACCACACAGTCATTAAGTGAATGCAGCTTCCCCATTTACTTGCCTGGATCGTAAGTCGCTTTTCCCGAAGCCATAGCAACTTCAAACTGTGGTTAAATGAACAACTGTAAGTTGAGGACTGCCTGCAATTTCACTCCCACCTGGGAGAGCCCCAGACAGGTAATAGATTCGTAAGCAGGAGAAGCGGTTTGGAGAAAGGACCCCAGGAAGCCGAATTTAGTGGTTTGAGGCATAAACTGGACTCATTCAACCCTCCAAGGTGTCATGCTGTGGTTCAGTTTTGGCTTAGCTGGTTGGGCAAACGCAGTCTTATCATGCTTCTTCTGTAAACAAACTGTGGCTTAATTCCAGACCCCATTTGATGCACAGAGGAGGTCTCCGATTAGAATTTGCTGCTTTTTTGCAGGAGGAAAAATCACCCCCGAAGCTGAAGTGGAGTCTTCCATGGTAGCACCCCCCCCTACAAATCCCACTTTGGTTTCCTGTCTTTTTTTCCCCATGCCCTTTTCCTGAGTGGGATGCATTCACAAGCAACCCTCATTTTCTAAACTGGCCATCGTTTATCCTCTTGTTTTGCTTTTCTTGGGGGGGGGGGGGAGTTTTAACTGGAGAGGCAATCTTTTGTCATGCTCCAAATGGGTAGGGAGGGCTTCCAGAGGATAGGATAGGATAGGATAGGATAGGATAGGATAGGATAAGATAAGATAAGATAAGATAACCTTTATTGTCATTTTTTTTACCGTGGGCACAACGGCACACATCAAAAATGAAATTTAGTTGCCCGCTCTCAAAGTGAAACACATACATGACACACACCTAAACATACTATATACCACATATGTACAGACCCACACCCTTACATATGCATAACAAATAAATATTAAATACTGCCCATCTTGAATATATAACGGAAGGAGGAAGCTTGAGAGTTCCCAAGGTTAATGCTGTATGGAATTGAAACCATGGCTGAATCTGGATGTTCTGCTACGGATACCGTGAATCCTCCTCCCAGAAGGGAACAAGGAAAACAGGTCGTGGAGAGGATGTGTCGTGTCCCAGATAATCTTACGGACCCTGGTCAAGCAGCGCTTCTGTGCCATGTCCTGGATGGGAGGGAGGGGACTGCCAATGATCTTTTCGGCCATTCTCACCACTCTCTGCACCGCCTTCCTGTCTGAAGCAGGGATGCTTCCATTTGTAAGCCCAGACCTACCCACCCCGCCTTGTTCCACTTGTCTTGCATTTTTTCCTTTGCACAAAAGTTCTGGCAAGGAGGGAAACATGGAACAACTTACACATTAGCCTATATTCCAGCTTCAGGCGCCATTGCACAAACTAATCTAATGATCTTAAATGCATGATGGTGGTGATGGTGATAGTGATAGTGGTGATGATGGAAATAAAACATCAGCATTGAGCTCACAGAAGAATGTCGAATTGCTGCAAGCTGCAGCAATCCTGTGAGATTTTGATCGTTTTGTTTTTTTTAAATTATTACAAGTAGTTCTTGACTTACAATCACAATTGGGCCAGGCTTTCTGTTGCTAAGCAAGGTGGTTGTTAAGTGAGCCGCATCCAATTTTATGACCTTTTTGCCATGGTTATTAAGTGAATCACAACAGTTAAGTGAACCATGTGGCTGTTAAGCAAATCCAGCTTTTGTTTGAGAGCAAATGCAACAACATTTCATTTTAATGTATGCTGATTAGTATACATTTAAAATGACAATAAAGTTTCTATTCTATTCTACAATCTGTCTATTCTACTCTACTCTATTCTATATTCCAATATCTATTCTACTCTAGTCTAGTCTAGTCTATATTCCAATATCTATTCTATTCTATTCTATTCTATTCTATTCTATTCTATTCTATTCTATTCTATTCTATTCTATTCTATATTCCAATATCTATTCTACTCTACTCTACTCTACTCTACTCTACTCTACTCTACTCTACTCTACTCTACTCTATTCTATTCTTCCTCCATTGACTGTGCTTGTTGGGGAGGTTGCGATCATGTGATCCCTGTCATAAATACATGCCTGTTGCCAAGAGCCCAAATTTTGATCACGTGACTGTGGGGATGCTGCAATGGTTGTTAGGGCGAGGACCAGTTGTAAAGTCACTTTTTCCAGTGCTGCTGTAACTTTGAATAGTTGCTACATAAATTGTTGTAAGGTGAGGACTACCTAAAACCGTTTTTCCCACCTGGCAATTGGTGACTGGCAATGCATTTCCAAAGGCTGGGAATAACCCAACAGTGTTCTGTTATTGGTCCTGCTTTTAGCTCCCCAACTAGAAGGGTCAGAAGGCAGGCTAGGAAGTCCAAAGCTGACAGTTAAGGAGAGGATAAGGATTGGTTAGTCCCTTTCCTATTGACCTCCCAGAGGAGGAAATTCACTACTATTTCCTTCCCTTGTCATTTTCACGCAAACCGAGATGTCGCAGGCCCATTCGTGGGACGTGGTGCAATTTCTTTCGTCCGACTCCCCACACCTCTCTTCTCAACTCCCCATACCTGCTTGGGGCCTGCCAACTTTCCATCCACCTCCTTCTCCATTCCATTCCTTTCCACTGTGGTTTGCAAGCAGGGAAGGAATTCTTGGGCTGGGAGGAGCTGTCTCATCCACCCCTCCCTCCGGGTTTTTTTTTTTTTAAAAAAACCTCAGTGACAAGGCAGACCGAATTCTTCCGACAGCTCGGTCTGGGCTAGAGGTGGGAAGGCGGTTTGGCTGCCAGTTAAACCGGCTTCCTGGCTGGTGGAACCTGGTTGGCGAGACCGGATTGCAAGGCTGCGTTGGAAGTAGGGGATGGGTCAAACGGGAGAGCCACTTGGACTCGGGTCTCTTACTTCCTTAAGTGTGAGGAGGAAAGAAAAATCTGAAGAAAAAGCAAAACATCTGTGGTGGTGGTCTCGTTGTGGACAAAATCGGGGCTTGCTAAACCATAGAATCCTAGGGCTGGAAGGGGCCTTGGAGGTCTTCTAGTCCACCCCCCCTGCCCAAGGCAGGAGTTCTTACTGCATCCCAGACAAATGGCTGTCCCATTTTGTTCTTGAAGACCTCCATAGTCCTCCCCTCTACAGGTAGTCCTCGACTTACGACCACAACTGAGCCCAACATTTCTGTTACAAGCAAGAAAGTCATTAAGTGAGTTTTTTTGCCCCATTTTACAACCTTCCTTGCCACACTTGTTTAGTGAGCCACGGCAGTTGTTAAGCTAGTAACACAGTAAAGTGAATCTGGCTTCCCCGTTGACTTTGCTTGTCAGAAAGGTCACAAAAGGTGAGCCTGGAACCGTCATAAATACGAATCCATGGCTGAGTGTCTGCATTTTGATCACACGACCACGGGGATGCTACAGTGGTCGTAAGTGTGGAAAACGGTCCTTAGTTGCTTTTTTTTTTTTCCAGTGCCGTTGTCACTTTGAACAGTCACTAAAAGAACTGTTGTAAGTCGAGGCCTACCTGTGTATTTAACAGCCGGAAAACAAGTGAAACGCACAGAGACTGAATGTCTAGAAAAGCCGCCTTTGGAATTTAAACCGATCCAGGCGGCTGCTTTGCTTGTGTTGTTTGCACAACACGCCAACCCCTCCTTGACCCAGTTAAGCTTGTCTCGTGCAGAGGCCCTGTGTCTTCATCAGTATGCAAAATGCAGCCTCACGCCTCTTTTGTGAATGAACGGCTGTAGCTGGAGGTGCTCGCCGTATTTACTGATATATAATTTTATGATAGGCCACTCCACTTGGAACTGGCGCTGGGCAGCTTCCATTCCTGACTCCAGCAGTATGATTACAGCAATAAGGAATGATGCAGTATAATTCATTAGCTTCCAACTCTATTATTATTATTATGGATCATCGCACAGTCATTTTGTCCACCTATTGTTGTTGTTGTTATTATTATTATTGATCATCGCACAGTCAGCCAGATGTTCAGACTGGATTTGGCAGTAATAGCTCAGATTAGTGTCTTCTGCAAAGGTAAATGGTTAGAATACAGTATTGCAGGCTAACTCTGCCCACTGCCTAGAATTCGATCCTGACTGGCTCAAGGTTGACTCAGCCTTCCGTCCTTCCGAGGTGGGTAAAATGAGGACCCAGATTGTTGGGGGCAATATGCTGACTCTGTAAACCGCTTAGAGAGGGCTGTGAAGCACTATGAAGTGATATATAAGTCTAAGTGCTATTGCTGTTGTTAAATGTTGATTGGTCTTGTTAAAGCATATTGTGGGAATACAGTAGCCTTCATTTGCTGGAACAGACCAGCATGGCTATACATCTGAGACAGTTTTCTCAACCTTATCAACTTTTAAGAGATAGATAGATAGATAGATAGATAGATAGATAGATAGATAGATAGATGATAGATAGATAGATAGATAGATAGATAGATAGATAGATAGATAGATAGATAGATAGATAGATAGATTGATAGATAGATGATAGATAGATAGACAGACAGACAGACAGACAGACAGACAGACAGACAGACAGACAGACAGACTTCAGCTCCCAGAATTCACCAGCCAGCCATGCTGGTTAGGGAATTCTGGGAGTTGAAGTCCATCCATCTTAAAGCTTGCTGATGTTGAGAAACACTTAACTTGGAAAAGACTTTTCCAGGTGTATAAACAAGCTTAGTGAAATACAGAACACTTTTGACCCATCCTTAGGGGAAATTATAACCTGCTTTTTTCCCTTCTCCTCAGCCCAAGCCGACCAAGGGCCGAATGCGGATACACTGTCTGGAGAATGTGGACAAAGCCCTCCAGTTTTTAAAGGAACAGCGAGTCCACCTGGAAAACATGGGCTCCCACGATATTGTGGATGGCAACCACCGACTCACGCTGGGCCTCATCTGGACAATTATCCTCCGTTTCCAGGTATGTTCCAGAATGTTCTTTCTCTCCCCCCCCCCAATTCACGCTGAGGACATTCTGCAGGAAGAATAGAAGCCCAAAGATTGAAATGGAGGTTCTTGCTTTACTTTCATTTCAAAATCAAGTCTCTAGTTCTCATGATGGAAGAATAATGAAATGATCAGGGCGTGTGCCTAGCCTATGGGGTAAACGATTAAGGGGAAGTAGTTTTGAAATAATCTGAAGGATTGTCACACACCCGAGGGAGTGGATTTATTTTCTGTTTTTCCAGAGGGCAGGAACAAAACCAGTGTGTTAAAACTACAAAGAAGAAGTTTCAAGCTGCAAGGAAGAAGTATCAATTGTCAGCTTATGGGAGACTGCCCCCTAGCAAATAGTTAGACTAGGTGACCTCTTAAGATCCCTTCCACAATGTTGAGGGACAGAAGAACCTTTTTAAGCAGTTCCCTATTAAGGGAGGAGATTTACCATTGTTGCCCTCCTTTTATAATAAACGATGCAAAATAGCACACAAACAGCATCATCAATGCTGTCAATTCTTTCCCGGATTTGCGCTCGTTAAGCGAGATTAGGATGTTTTTCTTCATTTTTGCCTGGCGTGGTATTTTCCTGGACGTTGCAGGTTTTACATCGTTATTCCTTTAAAAGAAAAAGAAAAAAGATACATGCACTCACACTACTGACCGTGAGTGATTCTGATCAACTGAGGCTCTCTTTCGGTCTTTTCTTTGTAGATCCAAGATATCAGTGTGGAGACAGAGGATAACAAGGAGAAAAAGTCAGCAAAAGATGCACTCCTGCTTTGGTGTCAGATGAAAACAGCTGGGTAAGAGGATAAACAGGGCGATGCATGTAGGGCATTCTCTCCTTCCTGGCTAACACTTAACTGGGATTCCCCTGTCTTGCTTTTCATCAAGAATAAGTGATGTAGGAAGCCGGAGAAGAAGGGATCTAGCGTCAGGAAAAGGAGAGGCGTGCCAGAAGCTCTGGGAAATATTTCTAAGCAGGTTTTCTGAATTTGCTCAAGGCACCTTAGTGTTGGAACTATTTCAACAACAAAAAAAGAAGATGGTAAATGAGCTATCTTCCTTAATCTGTGCGGACTCACATTCCCAGAGTTCTTAGCAATGGCCAGGCTAGTTAAAACATTCTGAAAATTAAGAGTCCAGAAATCCCACCTCAAGGAAGACTGCTATAAGGACACTGCAAAACCAGTGTGTGAAAACTACGAGGAACAAGTTTCAAGCTGTAAGGAAGAAGTATCAGTTGCCAAAGACAACTTAAGCTGTGAGCGTGGTGCCTCACGAGATTAGAACGCTGGGCTGACTGTCGGCAGGCGAGCGTTCGAGATCTGGTTGCTGCCGCTGCAGGACAGGGTGAGCTCCTGTCACTCACTCCGACCTGGCAGTTCAAAAGCAGGTGACCGTGAGTAGATAGATGAGAAGCACTTTGGTGGGCATCGTTACGGGAGTGCGAAAGGAGTTCCCAATAGGGCAGTGGTGGCGAACCTATGGCACGGGTGCCAGAGGTGGCACTCAGAGCCCTCTCTGTGGGCACGCGCGCCCTCGCCCCAGTCCTAGGCCTTCAGCTGGGTTTTATAAAACCTTTTCGCTTTAGGCCTCCGCTGTCGTGTGCAAAAAAAAAAAAGAAAGGTTCAATCAATCAATCAATCAATTCCAACTTCTCGCGGGGGAAAAAAAAGATCTTGCACAGTTGGAATTGATTGATTGAACTTTTTAGTCCCACCCAGTCTGCCGTTACCACCGCAGCCACGCCCAGCCAATGGGCCACACCTACCCGGCACCCGACGATGCATAAGTGGGTTTTGGGTTGCACTTTGGGCACTCGGTCTCTAAAAAGTTCGCCATCACTGCAATAGGGCATCCCCTGGGCAACAGTGGAAAACCACCAGCAAAGCACTTTGGTGCTTCCGACACAGAGGTATAAGTAACTTAAGGTTAGGTTTTCTGGTTTACATTTGTTATAATGTGTCTCCAACCTTTGGAATTACTGGAAATCTGCAGTTATATTGCAGACGATCTCTATGGGTACATATGTGTGTGCAGTGTATATGTCTGTCTGTCTCTCTGTCTGACTATCCACATAAATAGGTTTTTTTAAATATAAATATTTCACTGGTCATCAGACCTTACTGGTTTTTCCAGTCAAAACGGTAAAGTCTTTGGGTGATTTTGCAAGACCTTAATGTGTTGTTGTTTTTTAAAAAAAAAAACTTTTTATGTAATTTTTAAAAAGAAAAATATTTACTTTGTATTTAATTCTAAACTCTGGGGATCTGGGGATCATATTTGCTACAATGTCTGCTGGGTTTATGTGATGCTCCTCAGAATTTCTGATGAATGAAATGGTCCGTGGGAGGAAAAAATTAGGGAACCCTGCCTTCGTGGAGAGATGAATGTTTATGGTAGAAATGAAGCAAAATGAGTAAAGGGGGTCATCTCTTCTGATCTCTTTACAGGTACCCAAATGTGAATGTCCACAACTTTACCACAAGCTGGAGAGATGGCCTGGCTTTCAACGCAATTGTCCACAAACACAGGTCATTTGTAATAATATAGATATACATATACATATACATATACATGTATTTTATTTATTTGTGTCATACCTTTGTTATTTTTACAAATAATTCAAGGTGACGATCAATACTCTCTCCTATTTTGCCCACAACCACTCTGTGAGATGGGTTGGACTGAGAGAGAAGGACTGGCCCAAAGTCACCCACCTGGCTTTCATGCCTAAGGCGGGACTAGAACTCACCGTCTCCTGGTGATTGGCTCAAAGTCACCCAGTCGGCTTTCATGCTTAAGGTGGGACGAGAATTCATCTCCCGGTGATTGGCCAAAAGTCAGCCAACTGGCTTTCATGCCTAAGGCGCGACTAGAACTCACCATCTCCTGGTGATTGGCTCAGAGCCAGCTGGGTGATGGAACTTGAACTCATGCCCCCCCCCCCACACTTTCTAGCCTGGTGCCTCAACCACTAGATCAAACTTTTTGAATTTGTGGTTCTCACCTAGAAAGTCACTCCTTCCATCTATCTGCATATATGTGTTTTCATCTCTGTGTCCTCAACAGGCCAGATCTGATAGACATTGATACCTTGAAGAAATGTAACGCACATTACAATCTCCAGAATGCCTTCAATGTGGCTGAAAAGGAGCTGGGCCTTACCAAACTCTTGGATCCTGAAGGTGGGTCCAGCTAGTTTCTTTTTCCCTGATTCTTTTGTTTGGATTGGATCTCTACTGCTTCCGGGGAGTGGTTGGGTCCTATTCTAGAGCAAATCGCTTCCAGCCTTAAGATGCAGCTAGTTATTCTGATACAGGCAGTACAGGAAGAAAGCAAATAATATTAAAATTGAATATATGTGCACCAAAAAAAAAGGAGAACCAGGATAGTTGCTTCCTTCCATATCTATTTGGCCTTTGAGATCCATCTGCCTCAGCTAGATGGGTCAACAGCTCGGGATGATAGGACTTCTGGTCCAAGATCTTTGAAAAGGTAGAAACTCCATATCTCTAGGTTCTAGGTTTCTCAATCTGGCCAATTTGAAAAGATGTGGACTTCAACTCCTAGAATTTCCTGGCCAGCTGAAAGTCCTTTTTAAGTGTTTCGTTAATCAGACACATGACAGCTTGGTTGGCTGAGGAATTCTGGGAACTGAAAGATCACACATCTCCAAGCTATCAAGATTGAGGAACACCGTTCAAGTCTTGTTTTGATTGACCTGTGAGGGATCAATGGAGAATATTAGGCCAATTTTGCAAGCTAAGTGGAGAATTTGCGCTGCATTGATTTAGCTAGCATTGCAGAGGAAGCAGATCCAGCTGAGTGGGAGAAAAAAAACCAATACATATTGCTCAGCATCACAATTTGAAAAATGCTCATCTTCTTCTGGAGGGTTGATCCAACAACATGCACCAAAGGCTGGTCCTGCCCAACCTGGCAAAAATGAGGATGGAAACGTAGACCTTCTGCCTGTTGAGCAGGTTCCAGTGCTGCTGGGCTGCTGCTGCTGCTACAGGTTTAGAAAACTATAGGAGATTTGGCAAGTTTTTTCATGCGGATAAGTAGAAAGTCTATCGTAGTCTTATGAGAAAGGTTTAGCAACTAGTTGCTTCTACATGGTGCTTGAGTGGAACCGGAAAGAATGAAGTATTAATCTTTGTTTCTGTCTTGCCGCCTTTTTTCTCCTTGGCTTCCCACCAGACGTGAATGTAGACCAACCTGATGAGAAATCCATCATCACTTATGTGGCCACCTACTACCACTATTTCTCTAAGATGAAGGCCTTGGCTGTGGAAGGGAAGCGGATTGGAAAGGTGCCAACCAGGGGGGCTGAGCAACTGAATGTGTGCGCGCCATATTGAGGGGTGGGGAACAGGAAATCCAGGGCAAACGCGAGCTGTAAGAGAGACATCATTTGGTGGGTTTCTGGTGGGTTACGTTTTGGGTGGGTTAAGCCACCAATTGTGGATCTTTAAAGCCTAGGTATACAAGTAGTACTTGACTTAACAACCATTCATTTAGCAACCAAAGTTACAATGCCACTGAAAAAAAAGTGACTTATGGCTGGTCCTCCCACTTACAACCGTTGCAGCATCCCCACGCTTGGCAATCTGCACGGATTTATGAAGATTGCAGCCTGCCAGGATCATGTGATCACCCTTTGTGGCCTTCCCCACCAGCAAAGTCAATGGGGGAAGCTGCATTTGCTTAATGGTCTGCATGATTCACTTAATGACTGCAGTGATTCACTAAACAACCATGCCCCCCCCCCAAAAAAAGAGGTCATAACGATCAGGTGTGACTCTCTCGACAACCACTATGCTTAGCCATGGAAGTTCTGGTCCCAATTGTTGTAAGTCAAGGACTATCTATACGTCTCCTAAAGGAGGTCTTCTCAAGGTCTGCCCAAAGCAACTGGATAACTCAGGTGTTGTTGGTTTTTTTTGGGTGGGGGGCAGGTACTGGACTATGCCATTGAAGCTGACAAGCTCATAGAGAAGTACGAGACCCTGGCGTCCGACCTTCTGCAGTGGATTGAGCAGACCATCTTGACCTTGAATGACCGGAAGCTGGCTAACTGCCTGAGTGGAGTGCAGAACCAGCTGCAGGCTTTTAATACCTACCGCACCGTGGAGAAGCCACCCAAGTAAGTGTCAACAGGTTTGTTGGATATGCTCTTGCTCCTATGGGGGGCTGTCCAGAAATATGATTTTCCTAAAATCCATAGGGCAGTGATGGCGAACCTTTTAGAGACCGAGTGCCCAAAAACTGCCCTGCCCCTCCCGCCTCCACCCCACCCCCCCACAGGGCCACGCACCGCCTCCACGGCCCGCCGCAGCAGATCGCCCAGGCGGCCCAACAGCACCATGGGGGCCATGGGGGCATGAGGGCGGAGTCTTGCCCGGCTGCCATATCCTTGGCTGCGCTACTCCACGCAAGCCGCGCCCGGGGGCGACTCTCCTCCGGGGTGTGTGTGCTGGTGAGTAGGGGGCCACGCGGGGAGGTGGGGCTGGGGTGATAGCGCGTGTGCCCACAGAGAGGGCTCTGAGTGCCGCCTCTGGCACGCGTGCCATAGGTTCGCCACCACTGCCCTAGGGTCTCACGCCAGGAGAGATGGAGAGGCCTGTGTTAAGCAGCTGCCTGCGTTTAGAAATGTGCATGTTTACACCTTAGCTGTGTGTTTTTTTTAGTTAACAATTATTAACTATTTTTTTTTTATTTCACGCTTAGATTCACGGAGAAGGGGAATCTCGAAGTTCTGCTCTTCACCATCCAGAGTAAAATGAGAGCCAACAATCAGAAAGTTTACACACCGCGGGAAGGCAGGCTCATTTCTGACATCAACAAGGTGAGATAGTCCATTTGAAAAGGAGCCTACGCNAACCAAGGGGATGGTCGAGATCCACGTCGGGTCAGAGGCCGCAGAGGCACGACTCGGTCCAATGCTGCGGCGGCAGTTGTCTCCCAGGCCGCCGCCTGATTTTCCGCCGAGTCGTGGACTAGATCCTCCGGATATGGCCCAAGCTCCATCAGGAACCTCTCAGGGTCCATCAGTCGCCTGGGACGGAACCATCTAGGTTGACTTAACAACCATTCATTTAGCAACCAAAGTTACAATGCCACTGAAAAAAAAGTGACTTATGGCTGGTCCTCCCACTTACAACCGTTGCAGCATCCCCACGCTTGGCAATCTGCACGGATTTATGAAGATTGCAGCCTGCCAGGATCACGCGATCACCCTTTGTGGCCTTCCCCACCAGCAAAGTCAATGGGGGAAGCTGCATTTGCTTAATGGTCTGCATGATTCACTTAATGACTGCAGTGATTCACTAAACAACCATGGCCCAAAAAAAAAAAAGAGGTCATAACGATCAGGTGTGACTCTCTCGACAACCACTATGCTTAGCCATGGAAGTTCTGGTCCCAATTGTTGTAAGTCAAGGACTATCTATACGTCTCCTAAAGGAGGTCTTCTCAAGGTCTGCCCAAAGCAACTGGATAACTCAGGTGTTGTTGGTTTTTTTTGGGTGGGGGGCAGGTACTGGACTATGCCATTGAAGCTGACAAGCTCATAGAGAAGTACGAGACCCTGGCGTCCGACCTTCTGCAGTGGATTGAGCAGACCATCTTGACCTTGAATGACCGGAAGCTGGCTAACTGCCTGAGTGGAGTGCAGAACCAGCTGCAGGCTTTTAATACCTATCGCACCGTGGAGAAGCCACCCAAGTAAGTGTCAACAGGTTTGTTGGATATGCTCTTGCTCCTATGGGGGGCTGTCCAGAAATATGATTTTCCTAAAATCCATAGGGCAGTGATGGCGAACCTTTTAGAGACCGAGTGCCCAAAAACTGCCCTGCCCCTCCCGCCTCCACCCCACCCCACCACAGGGCCACGCACTGCCTCCACGGCCCGCCACAGCAGATCGCCCAGGCGGCCCAACAGCACCATGGGGGCCATGGGGGCATGAGGGCGGAGTCTTGCCCGGCTGCCATATCCTTGGCTGCGCTACTCCACGCAAGCCGCGCCCGGGGGCGACTCTCCTCCGGGGTGTGTGTGCTGGTGAGTAGGGGGCCACGCGGGGAGGTGGGGCTGGGGTGATAGCGCGTGTGCCCACAGAGAGGGCTCTGAGTGCCGCCTCTGGCACGCGTGCCATAGGTTCGCCACCACTGCCCTAGGGTCTCACGCCAGGAGAGATGGAGAGGCCTGTGTTAAGCAGCTGCCTGCGTTTAGAAATGTGCATGTTTACACCTTAGCTGTGTGGTTTTTTTAGTTAACAATTATTAACTATTTTTTTTTTATTTCACGCTTAGATTCACGGAGAAGGGGAATCTCGAAGTTCTGCTCTTCACCATCCAGAGTAAAATGAGAGCCAACAATCAGAAAGTTTACACACCGCGGGAAGGCAGGCTCATTTCTGACATCAACAAGGTGAGATAGTCCATTTGAAAAGGAGCCTACGCTGTCAACCGCCTTCAGGGGTGGGAGGGCTGTATTTCTCACTCAGCCAACCAGATTCCGGCTGCATTTGCACTTTGCGCTAGCAGGCATGGTGTGGTTTTGTTTTGTTTGGTTAGGTTAGTGAACCCAGCCCTGGGAGGTTGTAAACCATCTTTTATGACTTAATAAAAAGTATATGAGCCTCTCTTGTTATCCATCCTGCCTTTTATTGCCTCTTGTAGGCCGGTCTTTAGAAAAATCACAATATATTCTGATGGATCCCTTGGCGTATTTTCTCAGAAACTGCCACCCTGATTTTCATTTGAAAGACAATGGCAGCCCGTTAAACAAATAAACAAAAGCAAATATTACTAATAGGGGGGAGTTCCAAGAATACCTTAAAAACCAAGAGCCAGTGCTTCTGGATTCCAGTGGAAGCTATCAGCTAATCATGATTAATGATTAATCCACTCTTGGAAATCTGGGTTATAGTTAAGGCCAAGACAGGAGGCTGTAATTTTAACTTGGTTTTGAAAACAGGGCTTCTAAGCATGTCAAATGTCCTTTGTCCCTGTGATGCCATTATGAGATGCCACATGAAATCCTGGCGCTTTGAAACCTTCCCTTTTCTTCACCCATTTATTTCCAATAAATAAATTATTTTCTCTCTCCACCGAACGGTCCGCAGGGTTGGGAGCGTCTGGAAAAGGCAGAACACGAGCGGGAGCTGGCCTTGCGCAATGAATTGATTCGACAAGAGAAACTGGAACAACTGACAGCTCGCTTTGACCGCAAAGCAGCCATGCGTGAAACTTGGCTGAGTGAAAACCAGCGCCTCGTCTCCCAGGTCAGTCCTGAAGGGAAAGATCTACCTGGCCCCAATGGCAGGTGAAAACCTCACCTGGGATATTCCCTGAGATTTCACAGGGAATTCTGAATTCCACTTTGCACCACGGTGGGTTGATCCCAAGTGGATAGACTTCACCTGCCTGTTCTTGTGGCCAACTTTTAACCAGAGCGAGACAGCTGGGAACATCTTAATGTCAAGACTTCATTTCTAGTGCTGGGATGGAGATTGCAGTGTCTCTGATAACTTTCTGATCTTACTCGGAAGTGAAATTGCATTGTGTATCTTAAACGTTTCTGTGTAGGGAACAGGCAGAAAAATCTCTTGGGATTGTTTGACATTTGATGGCCAGAAAGACGAAGCAGTTCCACAAAGCACAATAGCCTTGTTTGTGGGCAGGGGGTATGTGTCACTTTAATTAAAGGTTCCCTCCCCTTCATAAAAGCCCACCAAACATTTTATACTTCCCAGCTCTTATTCATCCCTCACATAGCATCCTGCTTATTGATCTCCTTGCTATCCCACATCCGACTATTGATCTAGTTGGATGTGGGACAGACAGAGAGGCAGTTTGGTCTAGTGGTTAAGCTGCTGGATTAGAAACTAGGAGACTGTGAGTTCTGGTCCTGTTTTAGGAATGAAAGCCAGCTGAGTGATTTGGGCCAATGACCAAGAAGACTATGAATTCTAGTCCCGCTTTAGGCACGAAAGCGGCTGTCTGACTTTGGGCCAATCACCAGGAGATGGCGAGTTCTAGTCCTGCCTTAGCACAAAAAACCAGCTGGGTGACTTTGGCCCAATTACCAGGAGATGATGAGTTCTAGTCCCACCTTAGACATGAAAGCTGGCTGCATGACACTGGGCCAATCACTCCCTCTCAGCCCAATGCACCTCACAGGGGCATTTTTGTGAGGAAAATAGGAGGAGAAAGGTATCGGATATATTTGCTGCCATGAGTTATTTCTAAAAATAACAAAGGCAGGATATGAATAAATAAATACCTTGCCTGAAGGATGATAACCCATTCTCTGCCCTCTCCCCCCTCTCCCCCCCCAAACCTGCAGGATAACTTTGGCTCAGATATTTCAGCAGTGGAGGCTGCCGTACGCAAACACGAAGCCATCGAGACAGACATTGTGGCTTACAACGAGCGTGTGACGGCCGTGACTGCCGTGGCCGATGAGTTGGAGGCAGAGGGCTACCATGACATCAAGCGGGTGCTGGCACGCAAGAATAACGTGGTGCGGCTCTGGGACTACCTCCGCGAACTGGTGGCCACGCGCCGCGAACGCCTCCTGCTCCACTTTGAGCTGCAGAAGATGCTTCAGGACTTGACCTACCTCATGGATTGGTTGGAAGAAATGAAGGTAAGCAGGCCAGAAGATTGATGGAGGAGGAGGAGAAGAAGGTCTAGGAAATGGTCCTTGAGGAGTCGTATCAATCATTTTAACTTGGATTACAAAAACCACCATAACCAAACAGGAATCTGTTTGCTCCAATTTAATCCAGTTCAGGGGTTTACCGACATAGATAGTCCTCAACTTACAATTACAATTGAGCCCAAAATGTCTGTTTGTTAAGCAAGACTATTTTTAAGTGGATGGATGGAAACTAACCAAGGAGAGAAGCAACCTAGAACTAAGGAGAAATTTCCCGACAGAACAATTAACCAGTGGAACAACCTGCCTCCAGAAGTTGTGAATGCTCCAACACTGGAAGTTTTTAAGAACGGGTTGGACAACCATTTGTCTAAAATAGGAGGTCCCCAAGATTTTGGGCACCAGGGACCGGTTCCGTGGAGAAAGGTTTTTCCGCAGACCTGAAAGTGTGGTTTTGTGTGCTGCTTGCATCCCATGGATGGGGCTTTGCTTGTTTGTGCAGACCGGTTGCTGGCATGCTGTGGCCCGTACCGGTCCATGGACCGGGGGTTTGGGACCCCTGGACTAGAAGACTTCCAAAGTCCCATGCAATTCTGTTATTATTATTGAGTTTTATGACTTTTCTTGCCACAAGCAAATCACTACAGTCATTAGTAACACGATTGTAAAGTGAATCTGGCTTTTCCATTGACTTTGCTTGTCAGAAGGTCCCAAAAGGTCACAAAATGAGCCCAGGACACTACGACTATTGTAAATATGAGCCAGTTGCCAGGTGGCCAAATTTTGATCATGTGACTGTGGGGTACTGCAACAGTCATAAATGTGAAAAATGGTGACAGGTCCCTTTTTTTCAGTGCTGTTGTAACTCTTAAAGGTCACTAAATGAAAGGTTGTAAGTCGAGGACTTCCTATAGATAGCTGTCATACTATCAGACTGTCAAATCTCAGCTTTCCCCAAGATCTCACATTTTCTGTTCTGGGAGAATGGCGGTCCCTTGAGAGTTTTGCATTGTCATCCGAAATCTCGGACGAACGCCGTGCAAGAAAAGCAAAGCCTTGCAAAATTGAGAGCAGGTTTTAAATTTAAACAATTTAATTACCTTGTTAATTTTTAAAAAAATGGTAATTTGGAAGTTAGGCAGATGTATTGGGAATGGATGAAAAAATTGACAAGGAGACAATATTCAGGATCCAATCTGGATCTGTCACCGGGAACTTTCTCTCTAGCCTAAACTTCCCTCTAGCTAGAGAGAGGATCCCTGAAGATCAGACTCCAGGAAGAGTCCGAAAACTCAGAAGACAAAGCCTCTGGTCCCGTTGACCGACCCAGATTGGATCCTGCAACGTTCTCCGGAGACACGTATATTCGCCTTCATTTGTGAGACAATATTCAGGAAGTCCTTCACTTACAACCATTCGTTTAGCGGCTGTTTGAAGTTACAATGGCATTGAAAAAAGTGACTTATGACCAGTCCTCACACAGGCGTCACAATATTGCTACATTCATATGATCAAAATTCCTATGCTTGGCAACCGGCGTGTAATTTCGATGCTTGCAGCATCTGGGGGGGGGGGGTCATGTGATCACCATTTGTGACCTCCCCAGCCAGCTTCCCGACCATCAAAGTCAGTGGGGGAAGGTATGATTCACTTAACAACTTAAATGATGGCAAAAAATAAGGTTGTAAAATTGGACACAGCTCACTTAAACAACCTCCTTCATTAGCAATGGGAATTTGGGTCCGAGCTGATCATAAGTTGAGAACTACCTAGAGATCAGTGATGGCGAACCTTTTAGAGACCGAGTGCCCAAACTGCAACCCAAAACCCACTTATGCATCGTTGGGTGCCGGGTGGGTGTGGCCCATTGGGTGGGCGTGACCCATTGGGTGGGCGTGGGCTGCGGTGGTAACGGCAGACTGGGTGAGACTAAAAAGTTCAATCAATCAATTCCAACTTTGCGAGATCTTGTTTTTCCCCGTGAGAAGTTGAAATTTATTTATTGATTGAACCTTTTTTTTTTTTTGCACATGGCGTTGGAGGCCTAAAGCGAAAAGGTTTTATAAAACCCAGCTGAAGGCCTAGGACTGGGGCGACGGCGCGCGTGCCCACAGGGAGGGCTCTGAGTGCCGCCTCTGGCACCCGTGCCATAGGTTCGCCACCACTGCCCTATATGCCACCACACTCTTGGCTAGAGAGGTCTTTTCCCGTTTCCAGAAGTATAAATGGGAAAACCAAATATACACGAGACACCTGTTTGGCGTCTACCCTGAAAAATATGTACTGTACGTAGACACGTAATAAAAATAAAGAGATGTTCTCTGATCTATTGAAGTGTTTTCTTGTAGGGTCGCCTCCAATCTCAGGACTTTGGGAAACATTTGCATGGTGTGGAGGACCTCCTTCAGATCCACGCTCTGGTGGAAGCTGACATTGCTGCCCAGGCCGAACGGGTAAAAGCCATCTGTGCTGCGGCTCAGCGTTCTGCCACTCCAGGAGAAGGTGCTAACCTTTAAACAATTTTAAAATTAAGAGGCGTACATAATTGCAATCCAGGTGTTATCGTTCACTGCCAATAATACATTAGGACAGGGGTGTCCAGCTTTGACAAAGTTAAGACTTGTGGACTTCAAGTTCCAAAATTTCTGGGACTTGAAGTCCACAAGTCTTAACCTTGTCAAGGTTGGACTTCCCTGCATTAGGACTTCAGTTCTCTCTGTTGTCCACAGAAATCAGTTGTAACCCCAGCTAGATTGTCTCCTTTGTCTGTATCTCTGAACTCCAGGCTTTTAGGCTGAATTCATAGAATCCCATCCCTTTTATTTGTAAACCATCCAGAGCCATTTAGGTGTAAAAAAACGGATGAATTAATCGATAAAATGCAGATTGTCCTTGACTTACAACCATTCGTTTAGCCACAGTCCAAAGACAGAACGGCACCGGAGGAAAAGTGAGCTACGACCAGTCCTCGCACTTATGACTGTCACAGCACCCCGTGGTCACGTGATCACAATTCAATTGCTTGGCAGCCAGCATCTATTTACGGTAGCTGCAGCATCCCAGGGTCACGTGACTACCATTGGCAACCTTCCCAGCCAGCACCCAATCCCCAAAGTCAATCGGGGAGGCCGAATTCGCTTAACCACCGCCTGAATTCGTTTAACAACTGCAGTGATTCACGTAAGAACCGTGAGAGGAAAGGTTGCAAAACCAGGTGCTACTCGCTTAGAAACCGTCTTGCTTAGCCACAGAAATTCTGGTCACTACTTGTGGTTGTAAGCCAAGATTACCTGCAGATACCTTGGTTAATGAGGTAAGGCATTTGCAGCTGTGCAGACTAAAACCAGCTCAGCCCGTTGTGCGAATGCAGGGACTTTAGACTTTTACTGAGTGTCGGGCGAACCCATCCCTGAGATCAATTTTCTGTCCCCGCAGGATACAAACCCTGTGATCCCCACCTGGTCCAAGAGCGAGTGGCAACGCTGAACCGGTGCTATCAGGAACTGGTGGCCTTGGCCGCCCAACGCCGGGCCAAGCTGGAGGAGTCGCGCCGCCTCTGGAAGTTCTTCTGGGACATGGGGGAGGAGGAGGCCTGGATCCGCGAACAGAGCCAGATCCTCTCCTCCGATGACTTCGGCAAGGACTTGACCAGCGTGCTGCGCCTTACCAGCAAGCACAACGCTTTCCGCGACGAGATGACGGGCCGGGCCGGGCCGTTGCAGCAGAGCATTGCCGAGGGTCGCCAGCTGGTGGCCGAGGGCCACTTTGGAGCTACCGAGGTGGCCGAGCGCATCCAGGAAATTGAAGAGCAGTGGGAACAGCTGGAGACCCTGTCAAGCGAGCGGGAACGGCGTCTTCTCCAAGCCTCCAACCTTTATCAGTTCCAGGCCGACGCCAACGACATGGAGGCCTGGTTGCTGGACACTCTCCGCTTGGTCTCCAGCTCCGACATGGGCCACGACGAATACTCGACCCAGAGCCTGGTCAAGAAGCACAAGGACGTGGAGGAAGAGATTCACAACCACCGGCCGGCCCTGGATGCCCTCCACGAGCAGGCCCGCAGCTTGCCCCCCAACTTTGCCCATTCCCCGGAAGTGGACGGGCGCTTGCCCGCCCTGGAGCAGCGCTACGAAGAACTGGTGGATCTGGCCGAGCATCGCAAACAGGCCCTGCAGGACGCGCTTAACCTGTACAAGATGTTCAGCGAGGCCGACGCTTGCAGCCTTTGGATCAGCGAGAGGGAGTACTGGATCGAAACGATGGACGTGCCGGAGAGATTGGAAGATCTGGAAGTGGTGCAGCAAAGGTACGTGGTGCCCCCTTTTCCCAAGGTGCACCTGGCCCTTCTTTTGCTGGCCAAGGGCTGCAGTTAACATTGTGGGGGAGCAGCAGGCTGCAAGTGAGGACAGAGGGGCAGGAGTGGAGTTTTGGAGGACGTCTGGGGAAGGGGGAGGACTTCGATTTGTTTTTATTTCCTTAATTGTTTTTATTTACTAATTTATCCCATCGTCATTATTTTTACGCATAAGCCAAGGTGTCAAACGTATCTAAAGCTTTCTCCTCCTATTTTCCTCCCAACAACAGTCTTGTGAAGTAGATTGGGATGAGAATGAGCGACTGGCCCAGAGTCACCCAGCTAGTCCTAAAGTGGGACTAGAACTCACTGTCTCCTGGTGACTGGCCCAAAGTCACCCAGGCGGCTTTCATACCTAAGGTGAGACTTGAACTCACCGTCTCCTAGTGAATGGACCAAAGTCACCAGGTTGGCTTTTATTCCTAAGGTGGGACTAGAACTTACTGTCTCCTAGTGAGTGGCCCAAAGTCACCCAGTTGGCTTGTATGCCAAAGGCGGGACTGAAACTTACTATCTCCTGGTTTCTAAACTGGTGCCTTAATCACTAGAGACCAAACTCACTCTTTCTTACCTTTTTTTTTTCTTAATCATGATATGCCTATTTTAAGGATTAAAGTACAGTTTCCATCTGTTTCCTCACATTCCAAAGGCAGGAAGCAGGGCCATCTGTTTTCAGTCATCTTAGCTAGAAAGATCGCTTTAAGGTTTATAAAAAAAAAAGACAGAGGTTTGTATGCAGATCTGGGATCACAAGTTATCTTCTAGATTGGAGAGACAGGTTCCTTATTAAGCATTTTTTGGGGGGGACACTGAATCCTTCAGAAAGGAGAGTGATGCTTTATTTCAAAGATGGCCTTCAGACTACAAAGATACCTTCTTCTGCCTATTTTCCCCATAATAACAACCTTATGAGTAACAGGTGAGTAATAGCCTTATGGGTTGAGAGAGAGGGGCTGATTTTCATAGCTGAGGTCGGACTTGAACACCCAGTCTCCTGGTTTCCAACTTTGTGCCTTAACCAGTAGACCAAGCTTAACCACTAGACCAGGGGTAGGCAACCTTGGCTCTTTTATGACTCGTGGACTTCAACTCCCAGAATTCCTGAGCCAGCCATGCTGAGGGGAAAGAGAGAGGTTTCCATGCTGGCTCAGGAATTCTGGGAGTTGAAGTCCACCAGTCATGAGGGGTCCATAGTTCCCCATGTTGGCTGAGGAATTCTGGGAGTTGAAGTCCACCAGTCATAAAAGAGCCAAGGTTGCCTACCCCTGCACTAGACCAACCTTCCTCAGTATATGAGGAAGCCAAGGAGAGGATGATCTTGATCCTTTGCTATTAAATGAAATGTAGATTTTCTCTTTTAGGGAGACCCACCTGTTTACATCAGTGTTTCTGATTTAATATTGGTCAGTCCAGTGCTACCATAGCAAGACTCTAATTAGGACAGGAAAGCTAGTCTTCTGCCAGTTTTCAGTGGGTTCTACCCCTTAATGTTACCTTGCTACTCTCTTCCATAAAGTAACAAAGTTTGGGCAGACATTCCTTTTTTAAACTTTCTCCTGGTCCCCATCTCTATTTTACCCTTCAACGTAGAATACAAAATCTATGTTGCCCAGAATCAAATGCTGATTTAGACTTCAGCCCTCCACCATGTTATTTTTCCCCCAGAATGCTGCTAAGAAAGCTAAGCATTCTGGGTTTACAAAGATCGGTGGATAGATGGCCACCTTGCTTGGCACTGGGCTTCTGAATGACACAGGCCCAGCTTAAAAAAAAAAAAGAATCAATAAACCAAGTGGAGAAATTGAAAATTAAAACGGGAACAAGATCCTAATCGTATTTGGGAGTTCAGGAACCAAGTGTCCCTCCCTACATGTTGTTCAGCATGCCAGGGATCAGTGCCAAACCCTTAGGGAAGTATTAATTCACAGATTTTCTATTCTGCTCCGTCCTAGCCCTGCAGCCAGGAAAGCAGGTGCCCTGCTGTCGGCTATTTCCACTGTCTTTTTTGTCGCCGCCGTTTTTAAATTACGAAAAGCTAAAACGATGCTCTTCGTTGGGCAGCTGTATAGGGAGTCCCTGACTTACGACCACCTTGGGAGCAGACTTTCCATTGTGAAGAAAAGCGGCTGTTAAATGAGTCACACTTAATTTTACGACCCTTTCCCCCCTGCCATGGTTAAGCTTATCTCTGCCGCTGTTAAGTGAAACATGTCATTGAGTGAATCTAGCTTTCCCCATTGACTTTGCTTGTTGGAAGCTGGCTGGGAAAGCCACAAGTGGGGATCGCGTGACCCCCCGGACTCTGCAGCCCTCCTAAATACGTGCTGGTGGCCGAGCGGCCAAATTTTGATCGCGTGGGGAGGCTGCGGTGGTTGTAAGCGCGAGGACCGCTTGTAAGTCCCTTTCTATAGCGCCGCGGCAACTTCCACTAAACGAGTGGTTGTAATCCGAGGACTACCTGGGGTTGAAAATAACAGACAGAACTTTATTCCTGCTGTGAGGCAGAGCTAGAAGGCTAGAAGGCTCCTTCTCACGCTTCTCTTCTCCTTTGTTTCCTGGCGACTCAGGTTTGAGACCCTGGAGCCAGAAATGAACAACCTGGCCTCTCGAATCGCGGCCGTGAACGAGATTGCAAGCCAGCTTTTGGGCGCCGATCACAGGAACAAGGAAAGCATTCAAGCCACCCAGGAGAAGCTCAATAGCCGGTAAGTGCCCAGAGGTACAAGAGGAGGGATGGAGTCCAGGCAAGGAGAGGAGCCATCGACTCGGTGCAGTGGAACGGGGCAAAATCAGCCACTGCGAACTTCAAAGGAAGCCAAAAGCTTCTAACGCTTTGCCCCACCTGCCTTATTAAACTTTCTCAAGGGTTTTAATTAAAAGAGATGAAGGGGGAAGCTGGCATGTTGTAAAGCAGAGCAGCAGCTTTCAGCGATTTCCAACCCACCCCACCCACCCACCCACCCACCCCCGCGCGCCAATTTGCTGGCTGTGGATCCCCGAGGCATTCTCAGAAAAAATAGAAATGGAGAGTGGAGGCCGAAACTGCCTGTTCTCCTGCCCAGAAAATAAGAATAAGATACAACTGTAAAAAAACATCCTCAAGAGTTGGGGACTTTGGTGCTCTCTGAGCTCAGTGGTTTTCTTGCAGATGTTGCGTGACCTAACTAGGTAACATCATCAGTATTGGAAAGGGAGGGTTTTTTTCTGTACACCAGTGGCCCCCTAATCTTTTTGAGACCAGGGACCGGTTTGGGGGGAAACAGTTTATCCATGGAGTGGCAGCAGAGGGGGGGGATGGTTTTACGTGCCATCTATATCTCGTGCATGTGGAGATGAAGCTTCGCTTGCTTGTGCAGACAGGTTCCTAACAGGCTGTGGACCAGTACCTATTCGCAGCCTGGGGGGGGCTTGAATGCTCTTTGTTGTTGTTGTTAGTTGCGAAGTCGTGTCCGACCCATTGCGACCCCATGGACAACGTCCCTCCAGGCCTTCCTGTCCTCTACCATCTTCTGGAGTCCATTGAAGCTCACGCCTCCTGCTTCAGGGACTCCATCCAGCCACCTCATTCTCTGTCGTCCCCTTCTTCTCTTGCCCTCCATCTTTCCCAGCATCAGCTCTTCTCCAGTGAGTCCTTCCTTCTCATTAGGTGGCCAAAGGACTTGAGTTTCAACTTCAGGATCTGGCCTTCTAAAGAGCAGTCGGGGTTGATCTCCTCTAGGACTGACCGGTTTGATCGCCTTGCAGTCCAGGGGACTCCCAGGAGTCTTGTCCAGCACCAGAGTTCAAAGGCCTCCATTCTTTGGCGCTCAGCCTTTCTTATGGTCCAACTTTCACAGCCCTACATTGCAACTGGGAAAACCATGGCTCTACGCCATTCAAAGGAGATAATTAGAAATACATTTGGAATTTTAAGACTGTACCACTAGAGGAGAATATTTGTGGCTCAGGATGTAACTGTAGGGTCCTCGGTGCTCTCTGAGCTTGGTTCTTTTCTTGCAGACATTTCATTACCCAACTAGGTAACATCATCAGTGCTAGAAAGGAGTGGGGTTTGCTCTCTGTTTATATACTACTAGTTGGTGGGAGCGGTCCCACTTCTTTTTCTCTTCTGTCAGCGCACGCTGAAGGGTAAAAGATGTGATGGGGGCATCGTTACTTATTTACTTGTCAGACAGTCGATATTTTCATATCTGGGCATCCATCGTGGCTGCCAATTTGTGAGAGGGCCCACAACCTGCTTTTTAAAGTTTCAAAAGATTGGGGAACACCCCAAGACTTGTGGACTTCAACTCCCCAGAATTCCTCAGCCAGCCCTCTGGCGTCTCCTTAGAACTCCTGTGTGTCAACGCTGCAAATACTTGTCAAAGCAAATGCTTGTCAAAGCAAGAATATACAGTATTTGCAGCGTTGACATCGTGCTTTCCTGTTTCCAGGTGGCAGCAGTTCCAGTCCTTGGCGAGCCAAAAGAAGGAGGCTTTGACCTCGGCCCTCAGCATCCAGAACTACTTCTTGGAGTGCAACGAAACCAAGGCCTGGATGCGGGAGAAAACCAAGGTGATCGAATCGACCCAAGGCCTGGGCAACGACCTGGCAGGGGTGATGGCTCTGCAGCGCAAGCTGGCCGGCATGGAGCGGGATCTGGAGGCCATCCAGGGCAAAGTCACGGACCTGCACGACGAGGCAGACCGCTTGGCGGCCCAGCACCCGGAGCAAGCCGCCGCCATCTCCAGCCGCCTCGCCGAGATTGACGGGACTTGGGACGAGCTGCGGGGAACCATGCGGCGTCGCGAGGAGTCCCTGGGAGAAGCCAGCAAGCTCCAGGGTTTCCTGCGTGACCTGGATGACTTCCAGGCCTGGCTCTTGCGCACCCAGACCGCCATTGCCTCCGAGGACGTGCCGGCCACCCTGCCGGAGGCGGAGCAGCTGCTGAGCCAGCACGAGACCATCCGAAACGAGGTGGAGCATTACAAGGGCGACTACCAGCGATTGCGGACCATGGGGGAAGAAGTGACGCAAGGCCACACCGACGCCCAGCACATGTTCCTTCAGCAGCGCCTTCAGGCCCTCGACACGGGCTGGAATGAACTCGGGCAGATGTGGGAGAACCGGCACCAGCTGCTTTCGCGGGCCTATGGCTTCCAGGTCTTCCTGAGGGACACCAAGCAAGTGGAAGGAGTGCTCAGCAACCAGGTAAAGCGGAGAGAGGTTTGGGGGGAGAGGGGGGGGCTTGGAGTTAGAAGGCTGAACTTTTGTTTAGCTACTTCGCAGGACCAATTGTTCGTTTGTGTTGTGGTTTTTTTTTCTTGCGACTTCCCTTCCCTCTCTTTATTTCCCTCCCTCTTTCCCTTCCCTCCCTCTCTCTCTCCCTCCCTTTTCCTTCCTTCCTTCCCTCTCTCCCTCCCTCTTTTCCCTCCTTCTATTTCTCTCTGCCTTCCTCCCTCCCTCCCTTTCTCTTTCCTTCCTTCCCTCCCTCCCTTTCTCTTTCCTTCCTTCCTTCCTTCCTTCCCTTCCTCCCTCTTTTCCCTCCTTCTATTTCTCTCTGCCTTCCTCCCTCCCTCCCTTTCTCTTTCCTTCCTTCCTTCCCTCCCTTTCTCCTTCCTTCCTTCCTTCCTCCCTCCCTCNCCCTCCCTCCCTCTTTTCCCTCTTTTCCCTCCTTCTACTTCTCTCTACTTTCCTCCCGCCCTCCCTTTCTCTTTCCTTCCTTCCCTCCCTCCCTCCCTTTCTCTTTCCTTCCTCCCTCCCTCTTTTCCCTCCTTTTATTTCTCTCTGCCTTCCTTCTTCCCTCCCTCTCTTTCTCCTCCCTTCCTTCCTTTCTTTTTCCCTCCCTCCCTTCCTCCCTCCCTCCATTTCTCTTAAATATTTAAATATTAAATTCTCTTAAACTATTGAACATATTGTACAAGATTGGCCGTAATGTACGTTCTCTGGCTCCCTAGAAGACCTGCACGAAGCAACACCACTGGATAGCTGAACTGGACAACCATTTATGAGGCCACTGCCGTACCCTCGTCAAAATCGTGTATATAGTTATGTGGATTGCGTGTGTTATGTTTATGTCTCCCTTGCCATGTTCTCATCCTACGCTAAATCGTGATTTTTCTTTTTGCCTCCCTCCCTCCCTCCCTCCCTCGCTCCTTTCCTCCTTTCCTCTCTCCCTGTCAGGAATACGTATTGACTCACACCAGCATGCCCAGCTCTCTCCAGGCCGCGGAGGCTGCCATTAAGAAACACGAAGATTTCATGACCACCATGGAAGCCAACGGCGAGAAGATCAAAGGCCTGGTTGACTCTGGGCGGAAACTCATTATGGAAGACAGTCTGCACTCCGATAAGATCCAGGAGAAGGTCAATTCTATTGACAGTCGGTGAGCAGGAAGGCTGTTGGTGAAAAATGTAGTTCCAGGCCAGGGAACACGAGTAGGAGAAGGAGGTGGTTTTGCCTCCATAGGCTCCATTGCCAGGGAATTTAGAGTAACCCGGGAAGAGACTGTGATTTCCTAGTACTATATAAAAAAAAAGAAAAAGCACAAGACGCTGCAGTCAAATCTCCACTCAGCGGTGAATGGTGAGCCAGTTATTCAGGCTAATCTACCCTGTAGGATAATTGCCAGGATAAAGTTTGAAGGAGAGCCACCCACGTTGCCCTAAGCTGCTCAGAGGAAGCGAAGGATAAAAAATGTGATCGGCCGACAGGGCTGGTTTAAAACACGCTAAAACCCCTGCACGTTGTTGTTCTTTCCTATTTTACATGGAAGAAGATTTCTTTTGCTTGGGGCTATTAGAGCTTACCAGCCTGTATGATTTTTATTCAAGGTCCAAGCCCTCATAAGTGGAGGGGGAGGGTTCTGAAAATGTTGAGTTACCCTTGGATAGCAAGACATTACGGAGAGTCACGTACAGGATTGGCTATGTTTGCTGCCTTGAGTTATTGGTAAAGAATAAGAAAGGTGGGATACGAATAAATACATGATAATATAATGTAGGTAACACTTGAGTTCTCGTGGAAAGCCCAACATCCATTGCAGCCCACAGCATGAGGGCCCAACTGGGGACTAGTCACAATTAGAACAGTGAGAACAATTAACCAGTGGAACAACCTGTCTCCAGAAGCGGTGAATGCTCCAACACTGGAAGTTTTTAAGAAGAGACTGGACAGCCATTTGTCCGAAATGGTGTAGGGTCTCCTGCCTGAGCAGGGGGTTGGACTAGATGACCTCCAAGGTCCCTTCCAACTTTATTATTATTATTATTATTATTATTATTATTATTATTATTATTATTATTATTATTATTATTATTATTATTTATTATAAATTCTGCTGCTGCTTCTTGGTGGTCCAAGCCATGTTTTCTCAAGCTTAGCCACTTTTAAGATGTGTGGACTTCAACTCCCAGAATTCCCCAGCCAGCATGGGGGAATTAAAGTGTCTTGAGAAAAACTGCTCTAAAGGTTGAACGTAGCCTTCCCAGATGCATTAGGACTGCAGCCCCCAGAATACCCAGACAGCAAGGTTGAGGAAGTAAGTGCATTGAATCGATCTCCTCAAATATTAATCAGGCGTTCTCCATTATCTTGCAAGCGATGCTGCTCAGTTGGGATTACCCTCCAGGGACGATATACGATTAACTCAAGCCCGTGTCTTCCTCTCTGCTTCTTCTCCTCCATCCTATGTGCTTTCAGACACAGGAAAAATCAAGAAGCAGCCCAAGATCTCCTGGCTCGGCTTCGGGACAATAGAGTCCTTCAACATTTCCTGCAAGATTGTCAAGAGGTGAGTCCCTCAGCAGTTCAGGGCTGGGAGTAGCTGGGAGGCAATTTATTAGGTGATGGGGGACATGCTGGCATAAGGCAGTGGTGGCGAACCTATGGCACGGGTGCCAGAGGCGGCACTCGGAGCCCTCTCTGTGGGCACACGTGCCGTTGCCCCAGCCCCGCCTCTCCCCGCGGCCCCCTCCTCACCAGCAGCCCCTCTGGAGGAGAGTCGCCCCCAGGCATAGCCCGCATGGAGCAGCGCAGCCAAGGACATAGCCGGGCAGCAGGGACAAGACTCCGCCCTCATGCCCCATAGCGTGCAGACGATGCTGCGGGGTGTGGGCGGAGGGCGTGGCTGCCATAGCGCTGCAGGACTGCCTGGGCGATCTGCTGTGGTGGGCCACTGAGGCGGTGCGTGGCCCTGTGGGTGGGCGGGGCAGGGGGCGGGCGGCGGTGGAGCAGGCAGGGCGGGAGGCAGAGCGGGGATAGGGGGCGGTTTTGGGGCACTCGGTCTCTAAAAGGTTTGCCATCACTGGCATAAGGATTTGGTTGAAAGGAAGATTGAAACTGTACTCCAGCTTCTGCATACAAGCAGTCGTCAACTTGCAGGCATTCGTTTTAGCAGCCGCTTGAAGTCAGCGTGGCACAGACAAGAATCTGGCTTTCCCAGTTATTAAGTTGATGCTTGAACCCATCGCTCTTGTCTCTCCTCCAGCTCACCCTGTGGATCAATGAGAAGATGCTGTCAGCTCAGGACATGTCCTACGACGAAGCCCGGAACCTCCACACCAAGTGGCAGAAGCACCAGGCTTTCATGGCGGAGTTGGCCTCCAACAAGGGCTGGCTTGAAAAGATCCAGAAGGTGGGCTTAAATATGGATGACGCCCGTTGCTCTTGGCTTGGCTTGTCTTGGCTTGTCTTTCTTTCTTCTTTAGCTCACCCTTCCTTTCCTTCCAGCGTTGGAAATTAGATCCTGTTGAGATTGCATCCTTTTGTCTACGAAAAACATACTCTGCACATGCCAAAGGGTCGGTTTCCTGATAGGGCAGCCGTCAGATCCACCTCACACCTCGAAAGCCCAGCCAGCTAATGTCAAGCAGCAGAGGTTCCTTCAGCAGAGAGACAAGAGCATGCTACGTATGCTCAGAGGCACTTCCTTCTTCCCCACCTGATGGGATTGCGTGATAATGTCACGAGGGTCTTTTAATTTTGTTAAGGGAAAAGTTCAAAGCACATTATGACAGAGAATGTGTTCTCTCTCTTCCATCATCGCTAATCTAACCTTGGAGCGTAGATAGACACTCTGGCCCTTAAAGCAGGATTTGGGGGGAGGAGTTTGCAGGATTAGCCATTTTGTGCAGGAGGACGGTGTCAGCAAACAGGCAGTGGTGTGAAACAGGCTAGGCTCCATCCTGCATCTGGGCAGGACTCGAGGTGCTGTTTGAGATTTTCTTGGCAAAGCTGGAAGCTATTTTTCTTCCAAACTGTTTGAGGGTTTACGCTACCAAGTTAACATACCAGGATCCCTCAGCTTGTTTAACACATTTTTGAAGTTAGGACAGCACTCAAAAAAGGTGACCTACAGTGGGTCCTCACGCTTATGACCATGGCAGCATCCCTATGTCAAATGACCAAAATTGGGTTCTTGGCAACCAGCATGTATTGCAACAGTTGCAGCAGCCCGGGGTAACACGATTGCCATGTGTGACCTTCCAGGGGTCTTCTGACAAGGAAAGTCAGGGTGGGTAGCCAGATTCACTTAACAACTGTATGGTTTGCCTGAGGACCATGTGATTCACTTAATGACCAACAAGGCTGTAAAATCAGGCAAAACTCACTTAAAGGCGGCATTGCTTAGTGTTAGGAGTTCTGGTCCCAATTGTGGTCATAAGTTGAAGACTACCTGCATTTCACTGTTTAGAATGGCAAAAAGCGAAGCCATGTGCCGGTTCTGAAATCAACGAGGTCTCCCCGGGCTGTACCAAAACAGCTAATGTTCAAGGCAGTACAAGGGACTCAAGATTTTTCTCCCCTATTTTACAGGAAACATTTGGAGTCCCGGCTTCATTTTTAACCCTTGTTTTCCCTGAATTGATTCCCTGAATTCAGAGCCATCTATCCCAGGGATGTCCGCCTCGGTTGTCAGCAACGTAGCTCCTTGTGTACATTCTTAGAAGACATTTCTCTCCTCCCATCTCTCCCTTTTGGCAGGAAGGGGAGCAGCTGGTGTCCGAGAAGCCCGAACTGGAGCCCGTGGTGAGAGCCAAGCTGGATGACCTTCAGAAACTCTGGGAAGAATTGGAATCCAGCACCCAGAGCAAGGCTCGGTGCCTCTTTGATGCCAACCGGGCTGAGCTCTTCACTCAGAGCTGTTCAGCCTTGGAGGCTTGGCTCAGCGGCCTGCAGGCTCAGCTACACTCTGATGACTATGGCAAGGACTTGACCAGCGTCAACATCTTGCTCAAGAAACAGCAGGTAAAATGAGTGACATTTTGCATCGTGGCAAGGACACAATGGTGTCAATATTTGAGAAATCAGCTCTCCAAGCCCTTCTGAATAATAGAATAACAGAGTTGGAAGGGACCTTGGAGGTCTTCTAGTCCGACCCCCTTGCTGAAGCAGGAAACCCTACACCGTTTTAGATAAGTGACTGTCCAATCTCTTCTTAAAAACCTCCAGTGATGGAGCACCCACAACTTCTTTTTTTTAAAATAATTTTTTTTATTAATTTTTCATTAAAAAGCAAGAACATAAATCTTTTATCACAATATCAACCATAAAGAAATCAACATCAAACAGTACATTCATGGACGTGTCCGGTGTCCCCCTCCTGCACCCCCCTCTCACCTACCTACACCTTCCTCCTCCTTATCTTACCGCCACTCCTCCTTCCTCCCTCTTTCCTGCTTCCCTTTCTCCCTCAATCATCCCGTCAGTGCAGTTGGGGTATCACCGGGCACCTCCTTAGAAAATCATACATATATATATATACATCTAAATCTATAATACCAACCTAACCCTTTCCCCCCTCCCCCCCCCCAAGACTTCCCAAAGCTAATCTAGGAAATAAATGCACAATCATCCAGTACTAATCAAAAACTACTCATTATTATTACACACTAGTACAAAATTACTGTGACTCTAAAATAACATTAAATTACAACAAAAAAAAATTTTTTTTATTTTTTTTTTTTGTTTTAAGTTATATCCTAATTTTTCCTAAGTTTTTAATCAAAAGCAACATAATAATTTTTCAGTTCATACTTTCTCTGAATATAATCTATCCATCTTCTCCATGTTAAGATAAACTTTTCCTGAGAATGATCCTTCAGGTACGCGGATATTTTTGCCATTTCTGCAAAATAAGCACCCACAACTTCTGAAGACAAGCTCTTCCATTGGTTAATTGTTCTCACTGTTAGGAAGTTTCTCCTTAATTCCAGGTTGCTTCTCTCCTTGATTAGTTTCCACCCGTTGCTTCTTGTCCTGCCTTCAGGTATTTTTGAAAATTGGAGAATCTCCTCCTGGAGATACATCTCAATAGCTCCTTTACAGAAGGACCTCGATTCAGTGCCTGGGCTGGAGAAAAAAAACCCAAACCTCTGCCCAAAACCTTGAAGTATTACCAACACTTGCTTTCTTGGCAGTAACGATTTGTTGACCTGGAACATTGGAAAGTGTTCCACATTGTACCAATCACATCTCTGCAACAAAACACGAACATTGCCCTGACAATAGGCATGGTCCTTGTGCATAATAAGGCTGTGGGTTATAAGCCAGAGAGTTTACACGTTGTCCTAGATCGTGGGTTGTGTAATCACTGTTCGTTTTGGCTTAAACCAAAGCAGAGTAAATAAAACTGAACGTTTTATCCGTTAAAAGGTTTTTTTCCCAACCTGCTGATTTGTTTGTGTTTGTTTTAGCTTGTTTTACATTTGTTCTAGTTAATCCGCTTCCCTTACTCAAGAAACATTTTTAAACCAGTTTTTAAACAGTCCAGTATATAGAGGGGGAGCGTCCTGTGCTGGACTTCTGCCAATATTGGCACTCCAAGAAAATCATCTTGGTGGGAGTTGCTTTTAGGAAAAAAAAATGAAAATTACCCCTTTCATACAATCAGCTCTTGTCCGCCCAACGTACTGAGTTCTTGAATTTATTAAATGTTATATATCTAGTTTTAAACACATTTATATATTTGCCCAACTTCCACATAGGTGACACTGGGGCCTTGCAACCAAAGTTCATCCATAAAACCCAGAAAATTAATCAGCTCTTTGATTGACTCCCATCTCCATTCAGGGTCTCCATGCTGACAAAACCATGTTTTTAGGGCTTTTGGGAAAGCAACAGGATGAAGGCCAATCATACCTCGGGGGGGGGGGGGATGATGTTCCATAGAGAAGGGGCCACCACCAAGAAAACCCATCCAGATATATATTCTAATAGATGGACCCACAATATCCTCTGCCTTCCTGTCTTGATGGGCTGGATGGATGCAATAGACTAGAACATAGGCGGCCCTTCAAATAGCCTGGTCCCAAGCCATGTGGGGCTTTAAAAGACTTGCCCGTGACAACACTGTTGCCCAGGGGACATCCCAATTTCCAGAACCTTCAGGGGGGGTTCCCCTTTAAAGGTGATAACCAGCACCTTAAAATATACCTGGAAGCAGATTGGCAGCCAGTCATGCAACTCTAGGCTGGTGCAAAATTCTTTGGGCTGCTGCATTCCGAACCAACTGAAATCTCCAGATCTTCTTTATGGGCAGCCCCATGTGGAATTATTGCTATTGTAAGAAAAGAGGTGCTTTTTTTTTTTTTTAAGTGTGCACTTGTGGGTAAGTGGTTGAGAGAGCTCCTTGACCCTTTGCTTTCCTTCTCGCCTCCAGTTGCTGGAGAACCAGATGGACGTGCGGGAGAAAGAGGTGGAAGGGCTGAAGGCTCAGGCCTTGGCCCTCAGCCAGGAGGATTCCAACACGGTGGAAGTGGATGGGAAATTGCGGACAGTGGAAGGAAAATTTACGGAGCTGAGGGCGCCGCTGGGGGACCGCTGCAAGAAGCTGTTGGCCTCCAAAGAGGAGCACCAATTCAACCGTGACCTGGAGGATGAAATTGTGAGTTGACCTGGAAGAGGAAGGGGGAAAGGGACCGATTCCCACAGATTTTACAAAAAAGGAAGCATCGTTCCAATCAAATAACTTCACTGCAGTCATTCACCAGCAGGAAAAAAAAATTAGTCTTCATTCAAATACTCAAGAGCACCCAAAAATAAATCAGGAGCGACGCATAGAAAAATATGCTAAAGAGCTTCGTTCTTATTGGTTAAAACTCACCTAAAATCTAGAATTATAGAGTCCCTGACAAATCTGACATTAAGGTAGCTGACATTAAAAAAAAAAAAAAAAAGACCAGTGGGTAAAAAAACCATCCCGTACTCAAACAAGTTCAACTGCTCTTGATTATTCTTTTGTCTAATTTTGTGCGCCACAACACAGAACCTGGCTATGTTATATGTTATTTCAGGATTAATATCAGAAAGTAAAAAAATTGTTTGTATTGCTGGTCGTTATATCCTGTTTTGCTAGCCCAGGACTGGGGCAATTAAGAGTATTTCGGGGTGCTGTGTAAAACTGACAGTACAAAAGGACCATGTTCAAAGGAAGCATTTTTTAAAAGAAAAATAGGGCGCAAGATAAGTAAGATTGCCCTCCCCCCCCCCAAAAAAAGAGACCAATCAAAAGTGGGATTTTTCCTACAGAATTACCTGGATTTTTTTCCACAGTTTTTTACTTTTGTTCTCGTCCCGCAGCTATGGGTGAAGGAAAGGATGCCGATGGCCGTTTCCACTGACCATGGCAAAGATCTGCCCACCGTCCAGCTGCTGATTAAGAAGAATCAGGTTAGGACAATCTTTGTAAGAAAGTAAAAGGTCATTACGATTTATTATGTAGCGAAGGTTGTATTCAGAGAACGGACTTGTTTTAGTTCCAGAATTAACCGATTGTGGGAGTTTGTGTAAGACATTGAATCCTAAACTGATCAAAAGGACTTGAGTTGTGTGCAACTTACAACTGCAGGGATTCCCTAAACACCCATGGCAAAAGAGGCCGTAATATCCGACACAACTGACTTCATGGCAGCCTTGCTCAGCAATGGAACTTCTGGTCCCAATTTTCCTTTTTTTTTTTTTTTTTAAATGAAGAAATTTTATTGGTTTTTTTTTTCATTTTTACATCAACGTGCTTAAGAAACAACATGGTGATTGGGTTATCAATTATCCAAGAACAAAATCATACATATATCACACAGATTAATTCCTTAAAAGTTCCCTCTCTATTTCCCACATATTGTTTTACCAATTAAAATGATTACATTTATAAAAAAAAAAAAGCTCAATCAATCCAATCGGTCATCAATCACATTTCAGTTATAAGAATCCAAGGCCTGTTTTTAAGCTTCACTATTTTAGAAATTACCATATTCCAGTTAAGCTTATATAGACATATTAACACTTCGGGCATCCCTCATTTCTCTTTTCCCTATCATGATGATTCTATCTAAAATAAATATATTATCCTCAAAAACAACACCCTTACATTTTTTTAAATATAGCCTATTGCTTAACCTAATACATCATTTATTAATACTATTATTTCTCTTATCACAAATACCTCCTCTTCTCCCTCTATTACAAAATAGTTATCTTGGTTAAAATAAAGATATCAGTCCAAAGAACTACATTTCTGTCTATTTTAAATATATATTCTATCAATCAATTAAGTAAAATTTACCCCTCCAACTACTTATCATCTCTAATACCAAGTACTGTTACAAAAAAATATCCTTTTACAGAATCATCTGTCAATACTTGCAGGGAGCTTTAGAAAGTGACAGCCTACAAGTTGCTCATCTCTGGATCAAATAACAATAACTGATTGGTCTTTCTGGTAACCTTGCAAAAGTGAGGATTCCAGGAAACGCCAATATATGTTTGTCAAGTAGAATTTCCCCTGAGTTTGAATCCATAATAGAAAAAGATGGGTGTAATTTTTTTTAATTTTTGTTACCTTTCAAAAAAGATATGAAAAACAAAGGCAAAAAAAGAAAGTAAGAGGAAGAGGGAAAAAGAGAAAAGGGGAAAAACAAAATTGGGGGGTACAGTCAATAAAGGAAAAAGCTGTGAAGGGAAGTAACATCCGACTTTCTACGGTACAAACATAAAATAACCTTTTGAACCAATTTAAGTCATCGGCCAAGTACAGGTAGTCCTCAACTTACAGCAGTTCATTTAGTGGCTGTTCGAAATTACAACAGCGGTGGAAAAAAAAGTGACTTACGACCGTTTTTCACATTTACAACTGTTGCAGCATCCCCCGGGTCACGTGATCAACATTCGGAGGCTTGGCAACTGACTCATATTTATGACCGTTGCCCTGTCCCAGGGTCACGTGATCCCCTTTTGCGACCTTCTGACAAGCAAAGCGAAGCCAGATTCACTTAGCAACTGTGTTCCTAACTTAACAACTTCAGTGATTCACTTAACAAATGTGGCAAGAAAGGTGGTAAAAATGGGACCAAATTCACCTAACCAATGTCTCACTTAGCAACAGAACATTTAGGCTCAATTGGGGTCGTTAAGTCGGCTACTTGTATACATGCTTTTTTTGAAGACTAATTCTTTCTCCTGGACCTTCTCTTAGACTCTGCAGAAGGAGATCCAAGGTCACCAGCCGCGCATCAACGACATCCTGGGCAGGTGGCAGGGGCTGGCCTGCAGCGGCCTGGAGGCGGAGCTTCAGGGCCGGGTCGAGACCCTAGAGGAGATGTGGCGGGAGCTGCAAGACCAGGTGGCCCAGCGGCGTGGGCGGCTGGAGAAAGCCCAAATGGCCCAGCAGTTTTACTTTGATGCCGCTGAAGCCGAGGCCTGGATGGGTGAACAGGAGTTGCACATGATCTCAGAAGAAAAGGCAAAAGTAGGTCTGCAAAGTTAGAAGGAGGGTTGCTTGGTTCAGTGACATAACGGGCAGGCTTTATTACGGTCATAAGTCGAGGATTACCTACTGCAGTGATGGCGAACTTTTTAGAGACCGAGTGCCCAAACTGCAACCCAAAACCCACTTATGTATCATCGGGTGCCGGGTGGGTGTGGCCCACTGGGTGGGCGTGGTGAAATGGGTGGGCATGGCCCATTGGGTAGGCATGGCCCATTGGGTGGGCGTGGCTGCGGTGGTAACAGCAGATTGGGTGGGACCAAGAAGTTCAATCACTCAATTACTTTGCAAGATCTTTTTTTTTCCTGCCAGAAGTTGAAATTGACTTATTGATTGAACCTTTTTTTTTTGCACACGGCGGCGGAGGCCTAAAGCGAAAAGGTTTTATAAAACCCAGCTGAAGGCCTAGGACTGGGGCGACGGTGTGCCCACAGAGAGGGCTTTGCGTGCCACCTGTGGCACGCGTGCCATAGGTTCACCACCACGGACCTACTGTGTTTCCCCCAAAATAAAACCGGGTCTTATATTTATTTTTGGTCCAAAAGACCCATTAGGGCTTATTTTCAGGGGATATCTCATTTATACATGTATGGAAGGTGATGAGCACATGGGGGCTGAAGGTGTTTGGCAGCAGGCGCAGCCCGCCAGCCCCTTAGCCGGCACACTCTGGGTTGCGAAGTCCGTGCAGTGCAGGTGAGTGGAAGGGAGGCGTCTGCAACGGCTTACAAGGCTTCCCAGGGCAGACGCTTGGCAGGCAGCAGTAGTGCCGGCGGAATGCGCCCTTCAGGTGAGGAGAGCAGCGCTGACAGGTGGGGGCAGCCGAAGGACCGGGCGGCACCCGCCTTCCCTACCGTGTGAGGCTTCCGCGGGTGTCTGGCAGGCGGAGGGAGGCAGCCTCAACAGCTTACAGGACTTCCCAGGGCAGACGCTTCAGCGGCCCACGCCTGCCCATGCCGCTCTCCTCCTCGCCTAAAGGGCGCATTCTGCCGACACTGCCGCCGCCTGCCGAGCGTCTACTCTGGGAAGCCCTAATAACATTCTGAAAAAATGGAACGGATAAAGGAATTAAGTCTGAGGAGAGCTGTACTTAACTCTCTTAGTTGAGATCAGTCTCTGTCTAGTAATCACTCGATGGTAAGATTCATGTTCATCTTCCAAATCTAGATGATTGAAAGCTGGTTATGTGTTGGAGAGGCACCACTGTTGACCTTTGACCTGCAGAGTAGCACAGAAGATGTTGAAACCAAACTTACAAAGTTAAAACTAGGTTTGAGAAAAGGCAAACCTGCAAGTGTAGAGAATTCTGGAGCATCCATGCTGATGTAGAATAGCTCGTTTCGAGATTTAATTCTGTTCTGGCAATGAAGGCCCTGGGCTCCACTGTTTTATTTTTCTGCACAAGCTTGTACTTACACATCCCTCCTGCCTTCTAGGAATTAAAAAAACAACAACACTGTGGTTTTCTTTCCCCTCAGGATGAGCTGATTGCTCAAGCCATGGTCAAGAAACACTTGGGAATGGAGCAGGCTCTGGAAGATTATGCCCAGACCATCCATCAACTCTCCGTGCAGAGCCGGGACATGGTGAATAATGGCCACCCTGAAAGGTAAGGGTTCTCTGCCTTTAGTTTTCCCATGTGGATGGACCAAGCATCTTTCTTCGCCTCATTAAAAAAAACTAACCTCTTTAAAAGCTTGTTTGTTGTGATTGAAGGAAAGCTACTTGAGTTTTAATTTCATTCATAAATAATTTTTCCTTGACTGGCAGTGAGCGGATCAATCTTCGGCAAGGCCAAGTGGACAAGCTCTATGCCAGCCTGAAGGACCTCGCTGAGGAGCGTCGGGCCAAGCTGCAGGAGCACCTCCGTCTCTGCCAGCTGAAGCGGGACGTGGATGACCTGGAGCAATGGATCTCCGAACGGGAAGTGGTGGCCGCCTCCCACGAGCTTGGGCAGGATTACGAACATGTTACGGTGAGTCTCACTCTCAGGCCTGGGACATCTGGAGTGTATGGAAGTGACCCTTCAAATCTCATTCCGATGATTAAAAAAAAATTAAAAGTAGGCCCCCAAACACCTTTGTCATCTGCAAAGTAGTAGCTTACTCTTACCTTAGGCCAGGCATGTCAAACTGCCGGCCCACGGGCCGGATGCGTCACGCCGAAACCGCGCCCGCTCCATTGCTGGCAATGGGGGAAAAGTTGCAATACGTCATGTGATGTCGCGAGTTTGACATGCCTGCCTTAGGCTATATAGGATGACCTGCTGGCTCTGTATTGTCTATTCCAACATTGGCCTATTCTGGATCAGTGTTTCTCAACCTCGGCAACTTTATGATGGGTGGAATTCAACTCCCAGAATTCCAACATGTGGAAGTCCACACCCATCTTGAAGTTGAACAGGTTGAGAAACACAGCTCTAGATGCACAGGCTTCAACTCCCAAACTTGTTTTCAGTGGCCAGGTTTGTTATGGAATTCTGGGAGATGGAAGTCCTTACAACTGAGGGCACAGGGATTTCATATTATTTGCTTCTTTGTTCTTTAAATAAAAGCGGTCCCACTGCCATTCTTCCTCTTCTCCTTTGAGCTGTTTCTACTCTGGGTGGCTTTAATCACTGTGTCCTTTATATTATGCCCCATCCTTTTCTACAGATGCTGCGGGACAAGTTCCGGGAATTCTCGCGTGACACCAGCACCATTGGCCAGGAGAGAGTGGACGGGGTCAACCGGCTGGCGGACGAGATGATCTCCACGGGCCATTCCGAGAACGCCACCATTGCGGAGTGGAAGGACAGCTTGAATGAGGCCTGGGCAGATCTCCTGGAACTCATTGACACGAGAAGCCAGATGTTGGCAGCTTCCTATGAGTTACACCGCTTCTACCATGATGCCCGGGAGACTCTCAGCCAGGTCCAGAACAAACAGAAGCAGCTCCCGGATGAAGCAGGCCGGGATCTCAACACAGCTGAAGCCATGCAGCGGATGCACACGGCCTGCGAACATGACATTCAGGCGCTGAGTGCTCAGGTTTGTGTGGCAGGGATGAATGAGAGTCAGAAACGGTCAAACTGAGTGGGAAAAACAGTGTACAGGTAGTCCTTGACCTACAACTGATTGGTTAGTGACCATTCGGAGTTCCAACAGATCTACCTGGAGGGTACTTATGATCTGGATTCAGAGTTCTGAGAGTGACCCCTCCCCCCATCCAATCCCCTGACTGCACTAGGCACAATGAAACCAGGCTCAAAATGAAACCAGATCAAGAAGAGCCCAGGTCCTCAATTTGGTCCTCAATTTGGAACAGTTCATTTCGTGTCCGTTTGGAGTTGGCGCTGAAAAGAGTTGACTTGTGACCGTTTTTCACACGGTTGCCGCATTTCCAGGGTCACGTGATCAACATTCGGACGCTTAGCAGGCGACTCGTATTTTGTGCAGTGTCCCAGGGCCACGTGATCCCACTTTTTGTGACCTTCCGACAAGCCACGGGGAAGCCAAATTCACTTAACAACGGAACAAATTGCAGTGATTGACTAACGTTAACAACTGTGGCCGGAAAGGTCATAAAATGGGGGCAAAGCTCGCTTAACAACTGTCTCAGCAACATAAATTTGGGGGCTCAGTTGTGGTTGTGAATTGAGGACGACCTAAACAAGGCCCAGACGTTTTTCAATGTGTAATATTTTTAGGAACCATCCGTCTGCATTTGGAAGGAACGTAGTGCATGCAGAGTCGTGCACGGGAACTGAGCCTTGTCCCCCCCCCCCCCGGTTATTCACAGGTAAAACAGGTGCAGGACGACGCAGCACGGTTGCAGAAAGCCTACGCCGGTGAAAAGGCTGACGACATTCGGAAGCACGAGCAGTCGGTGAGCGAGGCCTGGTCTGACCTCCTCAGCAGCAGCAGCGACCGTCGCCAACTCCTCGTGGACACCGTGGACAAATTCCGCTTTTTCGGCATGGTGCGGGACCTTCTGCTGTGGATGGATGACATCAACCTTCAGATAGATGCCCAGGAGAAGCCCAGGTATTGTAAGAGAAACGTTAACGATTCCTGTACAGGCAGTCCTTGACTTCACGAGCACAATTGGGACTGGAATGTCACCGGTTCTTAAGCGAGTCACCCGGTCTTTAAGCAAATCTGGCTTTCTGATCGACTTGGCTTGTCGTAAGCCCGCTGGGAACATTGCAAACGGCAATCGCGTGATCTTTGGGAGACTAGAACTGTCACAAACCCACGCCAGTTGCCGAAGCGCCCGAATTTTGATCATGTGACTGTCGGGATGCTGCCGCAGTCGTAAGTGTGAGGAATGGTCATAAGTCGCTTTTTAGTCAAGGATGGCCTGTAGCGATTTAAAGAAGAAATGTATAAAGAGAGGAGGGATGTATGTAGCAAGCTGAAAAGAGGGACCCCTGTGCTACTTTTCTCCTGGAATTTAAATTAAGGTATCATCACCTTTTGTCCTGTCTGTAACTATTGCCGGTTTTCTTAATAATAATAATAATAATAATAATTTAATTTGTACCCCGCCCTTCTCCTCACCGGACTCAGGGCGGCTAACAGCCTTATAAAACCACAGTACAATTAATATCCATTAAAACCAAATTAAAAGAAAATATTTGAAAAGGCCAATCGTTAAAATTACCCTTAAAATTACCCTTAAAAACCCCACTAAAATTCCCTAGGCCAGACCCGCTTGTTGAAAAAGCCATGTCTTTAGGGCGCGGCGGAAGGAGGGGAGAGGGTGGGGGCTCCCACCGAGAAGGCCCTCCCCCTGGGGGTCGCCAGCCGGCACTGTCTGGCTGACGGCACCCTGAGGAGACCCACTCTGTGGGAGCGTACCGGCCAATGGGAGGCAACCTGCGGCAGAAGGCGGTCTCGGAGATAATGCTTCAATGCCTTCATGCCTTAATGCCTTCAATCACCTTCTCTGCAAGGCTCCAAGTATGATATATGCAGAAGTTGGCCTTATGTCTCGGGGTCTTCCTTTTTCTGCCAGAGCAAAGACAGGTGATCAACTTTCCTTAATTTTGCACTTGGATATAGGGATGTGTCAGCTGCCGACCTGGTCATCAAGAATCACCAAGGGATCAAGGCCGAGATGGAGGCCCGGACCGACAGCTTCAACGCATGCATAGCGATGGGGGACGACTTGCTGGCTAAGGGGCACTATGCCTCCGCGAAGGTTTGTGGAGTGGCAAGGGCGGGAGGCCATTGTTATTGCGAAGAGCTCGTGACACACTTTGATTTCCTCCTTCCTGTTCAGAAAAGTCTAGAAGTGTAGAGCTCATTGCGAGCTGACCTGTTTTGTTTCCCGCTCTTGGTTACTGAACAAAGTGAATCTTCAAACAGCTTCAAAGCTTTTCCTGCTGTGAAAGTCTCAAGACTTTGTATTCCCAGAATCACACGCCAGTCGGTCAAGGTCAAGTCTTACAGTCTCTTTACCATGGCAGAGACATGAAATAATAATAATAATAATAATAATAATAATAATAATAATAATAATAATAATAATAATAATAATAATAATAACAACAACAACAACAACAACAACAACAACAACAATAATAATAATAGTAAAGTTGGAAGGGACCTTGGAGGTCATCTAGTCCAACCCCCTGCTCAGGCAGGAAACCCTATACCATTTTGGACAAATGGCTGTCCAGTTTCTTCTTAAAAACTTCCAGTGTTGGAGCATTCACCGCTTCTGGAGGCAGGTCGTTCCACTGGTTAATTGTTCTCACTGTCAGGAAGTTTCTCCTTAGTTCTAGGTTGCTTCTCTCCTTGATTAGTTTCCATCCATTGATTCTTGTCCTGCCTTCAGGGGCTTTGGAGAATAGCTTGACTCCTTCTTCTTTGGGGCAGCCCCTGAGATATTGGAAGACTGCTATCCTGTCCCCCCTCGTCCTTCTCTTCGTTAAACTAGAGATCATGTTGCCAAGTGTTAATAAAAGCTTTGGCGTTTTGTTGCGTTGTTTGTTGGCAGCGTCTTTCAACAGAACCTAGAGCTACTGTTGAAAAATTGGCCCACCCATTGGGCTATCTCAGCTGTCCTTATTAAGAATCCCCTGACAGCATGTTAAGTTAAGAGTTAAGTATTATCTTGCTAGGTATGTGTGCTTTTTATGTTACACCTTTCAATCTTACGCTTTAGCTAATGATAAAGTCCCTTTATGGTCTCTGAATCCAAAAGAACCAATAGCGTGGGCTGATCACTGTCCCGACGCTTAGCAAAACAGTTCGGCATGGAAGGTTTTCTCTTTAATCACATCAGACCCCAAGACAACAGCATCCATTTGAATTTTCCCAAGCTTACTTGGAGAAGTTGAGTATCAAACCTAAGTCCATCCAGAGAGAAAGCAAGTTTAATCTCTGGTATCTCCAGTGATGACAAACCAAGAAAGGCCACGCTCGCCAAACTACGATTCAGCATCCTGGTTTCCCATAGTTACTAAGATGATGGCCCCTTGCTAATGTTCCTTCACAACAGGCTCTCAATGAGTCTGAATGTGCAGGTCCCTTTTGCTGAGGAGCCATTGATATTTTTTTTCTTCCTAAATTTGCGTTAATTCCAACCAAATTAGTTTCCGTTTCTTCTTACGATGGTGAGCTTCGCAGGTTAACAATAGGCAACTCAGGCGAATCCTTGGGGGTTGTCATGGAGCTCCCACCACTGGTATGAACGGTCTCTTCTGCTAAATATTTGGCCAGCTAAATTCCTTCCTTTTTTTTCTTTTCTTCCCCCCACTTTTTTATGACTCAGATTGTGGAGAAATTATCTCAGCTGCAGGAACGACGCAAGGAGATCAACGATAAATGGCGAGAGAAAATGGACTGGTTGCAAATAGGTACGGTGGGAGAGGGCAGAGGGGGGCTTGGAAGGGGTTTGATGCAGTTTGGAGGGAGGCTTATGGCAGTGGGCAACATGACTTATTTATTTATTTTATTTATTTATTAAATTTATATCCCGCCCTTCTCCTTGCGGACTCACACAATAGAACAGTGTTCTAAGTGACAGTGGCATTGAAAAAGTGACTTATGACCATTTTCCACACTTACGATCGTTGGTCATATGATCAAAATTCAGACTCTCGGCAACTGACTCGTATTTATGATGGTTGCTGTGTCCCGGGCTCATGGGACCCTCTTTCGCAACAAGCAAAGTCAATGGGCAAGCCAGATTCATTAAACAATTGTGTTATTAACAACAGCAGTGTTCACTTAACAATTGTGGGCAAGAAAGGCTGTAAAATGGTGCAAAACTCATATAACAAATGTCTCACTTACCAACAGAAAATTTTGGGCTTAGTTGTGGATTACTTGTAGACATGAGCAATAAATCTTCTTGACTGCAGTCTAATGTACTACCCTGCTACTTTGCACGTGACACTTAACTGATTTTAATGGCATTTGAAAAGGAATCCTAACCCAACATGCTCCTCAGACGATAAGAGTTTAACAAAACATCTGCTTTGTTAAAGATTCAGGAAAGGTGCCTGATTTGGGCCCCGAAACTAGTACAAGATCCAGAAAACAATCTTGGCTGAATCCTCTCTCTGTCTCTTGCTCCTCCCCCTTGCAGTTATGGAAGTGCTGATGTTTGGGCGGGATGCCAGCATGGCGGAAGCTTGGCTCGCCAGCCAGGAGCCCATTGTGCGCTCCGCTGAACTGGGTGACAATGTGGACGAAGTTGAAAACCTGATCAAGCGACACGAGGGCTTTCAGAAATCGGTAGCCGCCTGGGAGGAACGTTTCCTGGCCCTGGAGAAGCTCACCACGGTGCGTAAAGAAGAGGCACATAGCTTAGTTCATGATGTGAATCCAGCCATTGAGGTTTATAGACCTTGGTTTAAGGCAAGGGGCGTCCAACCTTGGCAACATTAAGGCTTGTGGATTTCAACTCCCAGAATTCCCCAGCCAGCATAGCTGAAGTCTATAGCTGAGTTGAAGTCCATAGGTCTTAAAAGTTGCCAAGGTCGCACCCCCCCCGGATTATGGCTTTGTATTGTTGTTGATTACTGATAGTCCTCGCTTAGTGACTATTCAAAGTTATCATGGACCCCCCCACAAAGGTACTCATGACCCAGATTCAAAGTTCCAATGAATGCTCCTCTCTTTCTCCCTCCCCACCCCAGTCACACAATCACATTCAGGGCAGTAGGCTACATTTTGGCTGTTTGCAGCATCCCATAGTCATGTAACTAAGATTTAGGCCTTTTTTTTTGCCAGAAACCAGTACTTTTTTCAGAAAAAAAAAAAGTCTATTTGTGGACAACAGGTTCACTTAACAACCAACACAAAAAATGTAGTAAAATCAGATTGGTCATATGTGTGCCCTGCCATCATGACATTTAACAGAAATTTCAAGCTCCATTATCGTTGTAAGTTGAGAACTGTTGTTGTAAGCTGGCACTGCATGGCTTACTGAGATATCATGATTAAGTACATTGGAGCATAATATGTTATATACATCAGTCAGAATAAGACTGGAGGAACTGGAAATGTCCAGGTCAATCTTTCCCCAGTTAACTGAAGCCTGCTGGGTTTCCAGTTACCAAACTCTTAACAGAGTCTTGCGTCATTTCTGAATAAATTCACTCATAAATTAATTCTCATATCAAGTATGGTGAATCAAAATTTATTTCATCTAGTGCATGGATTGTCAGTTGAAATACTTGCTCCTTTCATTTAAATAAAAAATAATTACAAGCCTTTCAGCAATATATCGTGACGGTTAGATTGCTCATCTAGTCTGAAGAAACCGTGGGTTCAAATCCTTCACTAGCCATGACGTTCCCTGCATAATCTGGAGTCACTCCCTTTCTCTCTCCGCCGAATCTTCCTTGCAGTTTTTTGCAAGGATCAAAAGGGGTGGCGTAGCAATTCAGGGGGCTATCGTGAAGCTTTAAAAAGAGGCAGGAGTATGTTACCACTCAAAGGCATTGATCTTAAAATGATAGTATTCTGAGATCAGGAAATCGATTTCCGTTTATGATTTCTATAAGACGTTGCTTTGGACAGCCAGATTGGTGGCATATAAATGTAATAAATAAATCCTTGTGGAATTCTTCCGTGTCCTTTCATAGCACTGAATTCCGGTAGGGGTGATGAATTTCGTAAGTTTTTTTTCTTCTTTTCTCTCCTCCACCAGCTGGAAGAGAATGAACATCGGCGGCATGAGCAGGAAGAAGCGAGGCAGAGGACATCTCTGACGCCGACCCCATTGGAACCCACCGTCATGATACCGCAGACACAGACTACAGACGGGCATCATCTACCCAGCACCACTCAGACCAATGGGTAAGAGCTGAGACCTTGGCCAACGGGGCAAAAGGCAGCCGCAAAATTGGCAAGGGGACGGGGTGAAGCAGGGACGGTTGAATCTTGAGAAATTACGATTACAACCCCAGTTTGCCGTCCCAAGATTGTGTAATAGCAGCCCTTCCTAAAATTAAAAATTAACCGGCAGTCTTCAATTGATGACCACACGGGAAGAATATTTCCACTGCTAAGCACGTCAGTTATTAAATGAATCTGATTTTACATTCGTTTTGCCTTGGTTGTTAAGCAAATCATGTAGCTTTTAAGCAAATCTGGCTTCTTCCATTGACTTTGTTAGAAGGTCATAAAATGAGGATCGAATGTCCCTGGGATGTTGCAACCCGTCATAAACACATGCCGGTTGCGAGTTGCCCAAAGGCATGCTGCAACAATTGTAAGTCGCTGTTTTCAGTGCTTTTGTAACGAATCACTAAAGCGAACAATTGTTAAGTCCAGGACTACCCTTTGCTACTTTGAAATTTGGCACTACATGGCCCATCTTTCTCTTCCCCAGGAGTCCTGGAGAGCAAGGCTTAGCTCTGGAGCTGCCATCCCAAAATGGTCTCGACCCTGATTCTGAGTCTCCCCAGGTAATGGAGAGGGGAATGTTCACAAGGCTGGGTGGGAAACTGGAAAAGACGGAAAGGGCCGATTAGTTCCCAGGACGTGAGGTGGGGGGTCTTTGAACCACAGGATGGCAAAATCCAGCCAAGAGAGAGATGGGTGTTATAAGAAATATATATATATATATAAATGTGATTATAATTGCTAGCTTAACAGCTGAGTGTTGTATGAATCCGTACAAGCATTTGGGGTTTGCTTAATGCAATGAATGAACCTAACTGCAGAAGTCCTCTGTAATTTCGTCGTAACCCAGTTACTGAAAAAGTGGTTCAATGCAGCTAGGCTCCTGCTTTCCTGCTTTTTATTTTTGTAAAAAATTTTTTTGTAATGTTCCAAAGTGCAAAGCACCTTCCATCGGGGACCCGATTAGCATTCCCGGAAAATAAGAACCCTGCTTTATCTGCTTCGAGCGGGTGGTTGAACCGTGATGCTAACCAAACCCCAACTGTTAAAACAGATTTCAGAATCGCCAGCTGCAGTCAATGGGTCACAGCTGGATTCTGTATCCAAGGGCAAAGAGCCCAGCCCACCCGGCTCACCTAAGCTCAGCTCCAAGCCAGCTGTTCTCAGCACGGATTCCGCTCAGTCGGTCACGCTGCCCCCACGAATGCCAGACGACTCCGCCTCGGAGCAGATGGGAGGAATATTATATCGGAAGCAGGAAATGGAATCCCATGGCAAAAAGGCAGCGAACAGGTAACGTATGTGTGCTGATCCGAATGTAGAAGCTAGCTGTGGAAGGATGTGACAGAAGGGGTTAGAATATCCCATAATTCTGCCTAAGTTGCAGAGTCCAGAGGACGGGTACCTCTAAAACCTCGGATGTGTCTCCCATCGTTCCCACACCTGTTGTTTGAATCAAGGGAGAACATCTAGTTATCATGTCTTTCAAAAGAACTGGCCCCTTTGTAGTTGTTAGGTTGTTGCCCCAATAATTCAAATCTCCATGTTTGGTTTGAAATCCACACATCTTGAAGTTGCTACGGCTGAGAAACCCTGCAACAGACGGCACCATTAACTGAAGGGAACCCCAAATGTGCCAACTCTGCCAGATCGAATCAGCCAGGCAGCTACTCCGGAGGGACAGCATTCGAGTGGGGAGGACAAATGGAAAACGATTCTTTGCTCATCATCCTTCTTGCCCGGCTTCCCCAGGTCTTGGCAGACCATCTATTGTGTGGTGCAGAAAAACAGCTTTGGGTTCTACAAAGACAGCAAGCACGCCAGCAACGGCATCCCCTACCACGGGGAAGCGCCCGTCAGCTTGCAGGGCGCGCAGTGCAATGTGGCTCTGGACTACAAGAAGCGCAAGCACGTCTTTAAACTCGGGTGAGCTTCCTGCTTTTGGCCAAGGAGCACCGGCTGCATCTTTTTTTAAAAAAAAAAACCAAACTTTTACATTTTAAGTTTTAAAGCGGAGGGATTAGACGTTCCTCCGCTGACACCAGGTTCATTCTTGTTTGCTTTTCTTCTCTTGGCAGATTAACAGACGGCAAAGAATATTTATTCCAGGCGAAGGATGAGGTGAGTCGCAGTCTTAGAGGTTTGTTCCAAATCGAGTTTCCCAACCGTGGCAACTTTTAAGGCACACGTGTGCGTGCTGGCTGGGAGATTGAAGTCCCCCCGGCTGGGGGATTCTGGGAGTTGAAGTCTTAAAGTCGCCACGGTTGAGATTCTAAATCAGTGGTGGCGAACCTATGGCACGCGTGCCAGAGGTGGCACTCTAGAGCCCTCGTTGCCCCAGCAGAGTTCGCCAGAGTAGCGAGCACGTGGTGTTTGGAAGCGACAGGGCAGGAAGTGAGCGAGCAAGCGGCGTTGGCCCCCAGGGATGCCCCAAAGATGGCAAGGGACTGGCCCCTGCGGCCCTGGCCCCGGCCACTGCAGCCACGCCCACCCAGTGGGCCACCCCCCCCCCCCCGAGGGCACCACAATACTGATGCAGCCCTGCCACTTTGCGATAAATAAGTGGGTTTTGGGTTGCAGTTTGGGCACTCGGTCTCTAAAAGGTTCGCCATCACTGTTCTAAATGATCTTCTACTCCAGTGATGGTGAACCTTTTAGAGACCGAGTGCCCAAAAAACGCCCCCGCACACTCCGCCCCCACCCCTGCCCTGCCCTTCCGCAGGGCCACCCACCGCTTCCACGGCTGGCTGCAGATCACCCAGGTGGCCCAGCAGCACCATGGTAGCCACGCCCTCCGCTCCTGCCCTGCAGCATCAACTGCACGTGCCGGGGCTCAAGGGCAGAGTCTTGTCCCCGCTGCCCAGCTGCCATGCAGGCCACGGTCGGGGGCGACTCTCCTCTGGGGGCCTGCTGATGAGGAGGAGGCTGGGGGAGGAGGTGGGGCTGGGGCAACGGCGCACGTGCCCATAGAGGGCTCTGAGTGCCGCCTCTGGCACACGTGCCATAGCTGCTACTCCATCTTCCAGTTCTATCCTGCTCTTGGTTGGGGTTTGGACGATTGGCGGAAGACATTCTTTTGTTCTTCTTATCATCCCTTCCAGGCAGAGATGAGTACCTGGATGCGAGTGATCAATGCTGCTGCTGCTGCTGCTGCTGCGTCGGCCCTCACCCCCCAAGACCCTGCGGAAGACCAGCCTGCGCTCATCAGCAAAGGCATGACGCGGGCCATGACGATGCCAGCCGGGCCCCCGCACAGCGCCTCGGAAGGGACCGTCACCCTGCGTAGCAAAGAGGCGAAGGAGAAGGACCGCGAGAAACGTTTCAGTTTTTTCAAGAAGAATAAATAGGAGTCCTCGGTGGGAGAGGGGCAGGAGGGGGGCTCTTCTGCCATTGGCAAAAACCTGTACAGGCCTGAGCAATGATCTGGGGCGCGGCGAGGGGCTTGAGTTTGGCAAGGGGGAGCCGGTTTGGGGAGGGGGCGTAACCAAAGTGGCCGTCGCTCTTTACTTAAATCCTGCAGATTGCATGAAGCATCTCTTGACGTTTTACAAGGACAGACTTCCGTTCCGCCCCCCCCCCTTTCCCCATAACGGAAGAAAAACCAACACAAAACAGGACACATCGTCTCAGTCGAAACAGGAGGGGTGACACAGTGGCAAAGACGGTTGTGGCGGCGCCAAGCGGTGGGGAAAGGCCTCTCCAAGAGTGGGGCAGCAGATTGTCAGATGCTGGACATCTGGGAGGGGGGGGGGAGGAAGGGCAGGTCTGGGTGAACAGGCCACGGAAAGAGGTGGCGCGGGGCTGATCCCAGACCGGTGTTTTTAACGACGCTGACGTTTTGTGGGTTCCGGTAGCAGCGACACCACTGGAAGTCTCCCCCCCCCAGGTACAAAAATCGGGCTTCTGAAGTTGATTCTACCTTTGCTCAATCTCTTCCTCCACCTCCTCTGTCATCTGTGCTCCAAGGCTGTTAGATTCCTCCTTCCCCCCCCCCTGCAGGCAAAATCCCGTTGGGAAAAGGTTGCCAGCCTACCTGCCACTGTGGCCCCGTGCCGTGTGCAAGGCCGAGAGAGGCGCCTTCTAAAACATCCCCCTTTAAAAGCCCCGCTCAATTGTGATCCACGCCTATATACACACACTCTCCCCCCCCTTTCTAAAAAAACCGAACCGAGGATGCACAACGCAGTGCTGTTCGGGCCCCGGAGCGTACACTGCTTGTGTGTATAGTTCAGGAGTGCGCCTCCTTCTCCGGGAAACGAAGCCGGTCAGAGGACGCTGAGCTTGCAGTGCGCCTGGTGCTCTTCACGTGCGTTCCTACTGCTTCCGCATCCCGGAGGCAGCGGAGCATGGAGGCAGGAGGGCCAAAACGTTGGGGAGGGTGGCTTTGCCACCCCACCCCCCAGGATTATACACTCTGCAGCTGACCTGGCTGCCCCGCCCTCCAAACCTGCCTCACAGTGCCTAAAAGCTCGGATCTCTTGGGGCGCTCCAGAAGACGGTGGGGATCTTCAGTTAAGATCCCCGATGCTCGCCAGAGGTCCTCAACTAGGATATCCGAGCTAGATCCCGCTCCTTCGGGCTCAGCCCCAGGGACCAGCAATCAGTGCCAGCCCCCCTCTGCTTTAAAATCCCCTCCCCGTCCACACCACACGTGGTAGCGCTGTTATCACCGATCTGTTCTGGTTTGGGGGGATTCTTTTTGGCAAACGTTCCCCGACTCGCACCAGATTACGCCGGGAGGGCAGCTCCCGATACACGTGGCGGATCCCCCAAGCTTGGGAAGGCTCGTTTCCTAGCCCCCTCCCTCCCTCCCTCCCCTAGTGTCTATTCTATGCAAAATTCATCATCCCACATCTGTTTTTACTCCTTTTGTCAAGTCTCACGAGGGCACCCGAGCCCTCGGGGTTAGAACAAAAACCACTCCGGCCAATACGGAAGATTGCCAGGTGGTGGGCTTTCCTTCTTCTCAGGCGACCTCGCTAGCAGCGTTGCTCTTCCAGTCGATCGCCCGAGAGATGTTCAGGTTGATCTTTGCCTCCTGGGGCTACATGCCACAGATCTCCCACCCGCCCCCGTGAGCCCACGCTCTGCCAATCCTCACGGGTGGCAGAAGAGAACAGCTTTAGAAACAGGAAGGGGGAAATTGTCTCTAGAGCCGCTGTTATCGCCTGCTCCACACCTCTCTCAAATTCTCATTAATCCGCCGGCAGGCACCCAAGTTGGCACATTGGGTTGGCTGGACTCCTCTCGCCGTTGCTTGCCAGGGTTTCGTCAGCCAGAGCAGGACACCCCCCCCACACACACACACACCGGTCTTCTTCCTCTTCCTCTCTCCCTGGCCTTGGTCCCTAACCTGGGTGTGCCTTCCATTTGTCCTCGGATGTCGCCCTGCATTGCCACCTCGCCTCTGCAGAAAGCATCGCCTCTCTTCCCTTCGGGCACAAAGGACGCCAAAGCAGCCTTGGCGCACGGATGGGGTTGCAGAAAGACCCAGAGGGATGGCCTGCCTGCCTTCCTTCCGATGCGCAGGGATGTTAGTTTTTTTCCTTTTTCTTTTTTTCATGCTGCTTAGAGTGGGGGGGGGAGGCACGCCCCTCGAGGGCCCCCAGCAGTGTTCTCTGTGCTTGTTGGGGACTAATTATCCATGTGTTTGCAGTGACATCTGTTCCGATATTTTTTTTTGGAGAAATAAAAAAGAATCTGTGGAGAGGTGTGTTTCTTCTTTTTCTTCATAAGGACGGGTTTCAAAACGGAGCTTTTGGCCCTTTGCTTGTTCTCCGAACAACAACAACAATAATAATGTTGGGAGGGACCTTGGAGGTCATCGAGTCCAACCCCCTGCTCAGGCAGGAAACCCTACCATTACAGACAGATGGCTGTCCAGTCTCTTCTTAAAAACTTCCAGTGTTGGAGCATTCAGCGCTTCTGGAGGCAGGTTGTTCCACTGGTTAATTGTTCTCACTGTCAGGAAGTTTCTCCTTAGTTCTAGGTTGCTTCTCTCCTTGATTAGTTTCTTGTCCTGCCTTCAGGCGCTCTGGAGAAGACCAGATTCTTTGTTAACCCATCACGTTTTGCCAGTTGGTGGCCTGCATCCCATGGACTGAGATTTAGCATGATGTGCAAAGTTCTCCATAGGTACAAGGTGGTCCTTTAAATAAAAACTTCCCCCATTTCCCTGCTGTACATAGGTCTAAGTGCTCTTGCTAAATCAGGGGCGGACAATATGGACTTCAACTCCCAGAATTCCTCATCAAACACGGCTCAGGAATTAATAGAGTTGGGAGGGACCTTGGAGGTCATCTAGTCCAACCCCCTGCTCAAGCAGGAGACCCTACACCATTTCAGAAAAACGATTGTCTAATCTAAAAACTTCCAGTGTTGGAGCAGCCACAACTTTCAGCGATGAGATTCTCATAGATGACTTCCCAGGATGATTTTTTTTTCCAACTTCCCAATCTGACCCACCACCTTGAGATTGCTTGGTGGTCTCCCATCCAACCTCTAACCAGCCTCTTGGTTTGTTGCTCCAAAGTGGAATAGGGCTGTAGACTTCCCAGCCCTCCCAACAACTTTAATGATATTCCAATCAAAATATTTAAGAGCAGGAGTCTGCAAACTTGGCCGCTTTAAAGACTGGTGGACTTCAACTCCCAGAATTCCCCAGCCAGCCATGCTGGCTGGGGGATTCTGGGAGTTGAAGTCCACCTGTCTTTAAAGCGGCCAAGTTTGAAGACCGCTGCATTAGAGAAGTCCTATTCAGCCAAAAGACTTCCGGAGTGAGTTCTGCTTTGCCTGCCTCACAGGGTTGTTGTGAGAATAAGTGGGATGCGTGGAAAACATGAGTAATACTTAACTATTTAATGAATGCATATAAATAAATTTCCTTTCACCCAGGAACGCACACCCATAGCCTTCTCCCCCTCTTTTCCTTGTGGATTCTTCCGGTCAGGGCTTCTTCCTCTTCCACCCCTTTTAAAAATTCATCATGGAACAGTCCAGTTCCTCCTCTCCCCCCCCCTTTCCCTTGAACAGTCCGGCTTTCCGCCGGATCCTCCCGCATGGAACAGTCTGGCCTCCCCCCGGATCCTCCCGCATGGAACAGTCTGGCCTACCTCCTCTTTTACATCCCCTCCCCGGATTTCGCTTCCACGCCCCCCTCCTCGCCCTTGGCAACGGTTAACATTCGACCCTCCCAAACCACGTGTCAAAACTTTGAATGACCTATCGCCTGCCCCGCCTCCTAGATTTATTACCTCCTTTTCCGACTGACTTCCGGCAAGCGGTGACATTCGTCGCCTAATACGATTGGCCGAAGGCTTGACGTACCTTGCAGGGAAGGCAGGGTCACTTTCCGTCGCCTCACGAGACGAGAGCCAATCAGCTTGGGACCTTGCTAAAGACGAGATCCGATTGGATATCCGTCTTCCCGACGCTTTCCGCTTTGGCCATTCGGACTGCCCGGCGACTCTTGACGCAACCAATCGGAACGCAGAGGAAGGGGAAGAGGCGGGCCAAGCACTTGGAGGAGGACGTGAAGTTTAGTTGCCGCCGCCGCCGCCATTTTGTGCTGAGGGCTGTTGCTGAGGTTTGTGAGGGGCCGGGCCCGGCCGGGCGGGTGGAAGAAGCGGGCGGTGGGGGAAGATGCGGGGTGGTGGGACTGAGCTTTGCGGGGGCCCGCATGCAAAACTGAGGCCTTGGCCCTCTGCCTCGACTAATAACAATATTTTCTGATGCTAATATTGAGGGCGCACGCATAGAGCATAAACACGCCCACAGCCATACATTGTACACAGCCATACGCAATCATGGCCTCTGCTTGTACAAAGTCCCGCTAGTATATTACACACATACATATATAGAATAGAGCGGGAAGGGACCTTGGAGGTCTTCTAGTCCAGCCCCCTGCTCAAGCAGAACTTATACATATATACATGCATATACATATATATATATACACACACACAAACACACAAAAATTCATGCACACATACACATCCCACACGCGTGCGCCCCCACTTACAGAACGACCTATGCACAAAAATAATTTGCCATATGCCTTTCGGTAATAATACTCTTTAGTTACAGGATGTGTGTGTGTGTTTGAGTGTATGTATACACACACATTTTGGAGTGTGTATTTCTAATACTCTCACAAGGCGGGGCCTAAGTGTTTTCGTAATTTGTGAAATTAATATGTCTGTGTGTCTGTACACGCACGTGTGCAACTGTGTGATGCACACACAAAGCCGTGGGCCTGTGACTTTCAGTAATAAGAGTGTGGTTGTTTTTATTTCATTTTTAATTCATTCATCAAACATCTGTGCTGGTAGGCCTTGACTTAACAACC